GGAAAGTGAAGGAAAGTGAAGGAAAGTGAAGGAAAGTGAAGGAAAGTGAAGGAAAGTGAAGGAAAGTGAAGGAAAGTGAAGGAAAGTGAAGGAAAAGGATTCCACTCCCCCTTCCTGACTCTACATCTGCCACCACGGGCAGTCTTGGATGCAGCTACAGGGAGAGAAGGCCTCGATTTGGAGCTGGGAGCCGCTGGGTGCCCGCGCGGAGCCACCCACCTGGCGGGGCCGCCCGTGAGGGTGGCGTCGATGACGTGGTCGCTGTCGATGCGGAACATGTACACGCCGCGGTTCTGGAAGACACGGGTGGAGAGAGCGTGAGGGCCCCGGGCGGCAGCGACGCCCCCGGCGCCGGCCCCGCGCGGGACTGGTCCGGCCAGCGGCCTCCCACTTTACAAGGGGTGGTCATGAGCAGCAGAAGGAGCGCGTGGCCATGAGCAGCACGAGGGGTGGGCATCAACAGCACAAATGGATGGTCATGAGCAGCCATCGCTGCTGACTGACTCTTTCCCAAGAGTTAAGAGCTTGGGCTTCTTGGCCACCTTTCGTTGGGGCCTCTGAGGTGCCCCACAAGTGCCAGGCAGCTGCCACGGCACCTCTGTGCTGCACAGAGGGCCTCGCTTTCCATTTTAAGAGGCTTCATTAGAAACGGAGCTCCTGACATCTCTGCAAGGGCTCTCGTTCTGGCCTCCAGGCAGGAGGCTGTCGCTGCCTGCCCGGCCACAGGGCTGTGAGGTTTATTAACTGCTATTACACTGTGACATTTATTAACCACTCAAACAGGCCGAGCCCTGTGGGTAAGAAACATCCCCACGTTTCTATTCTCATCCGGCTGCTTTCACAGCTCAGGGGCAGTGACCCCAGCAGCCCTGACACCAGTGCCCTGTTCACCAGGACAAAGGCAGCACTTGCTGCCCTGCACGAGCCCTTGCAAGGGCAACTAGGTAAAACCACCCGTGAGCAACAATCCGTACCTGAGATTCATAAAGCTTCTCCTTCCTGTTTGCCACCTCATTCCGGATAATGGTTCCGATGTATTCGATGACCATAGTGTGCTTTTCAATGTCTCTAGCAGCATATAAGCCCAGGCCCTACAAAGAAAACAGGCTGTGATCTGGAAGTTCCCAACATGCTGACATCTGGTGCGTGGTTCCTCGGGGAGCCTCCCAGCCCTTCCTGGAGACAACGGCCCAGCCGGAGCACGCGGGAACTGCAGCTTCCACCAGCCTTTCCCAACGACGCAGAGCCCGGATCTGCAGGGGGCTTTAAGAGGTAAGAAAAGGCAGGGAGTATTTGGCTTCCCTGGAGGTGAGAGGGGCTTCCCACCAGCTGCTGGAAGCCTAGGAATTCCCTCCACAGAGGAGGAGGCCCTGCTACATGGAGGGACTCAACAGGGCACAGGCAGGTCCGACCTAGAACAACCACCCACCATGTTCACGGAGAGCTGCACCTCCTACACGAGACAAACCACGAGGACTTTGCAGAACAGGGATCACCGGCAGAATTAATTACACAGAGCAATGAGCTCGTTTCATCTCATTTTACGAAGGCAATGGGGTATTTAGCTCTCCGTGCTGGTCCTGCACCATTCTAGAGCGTGCTCCGAGCACTCCCCATTCCCACTGATGCTGTTTGTAGGACTCAATATTTGGATCTTGATTCTGGTCTACTGATTTTTTTGAGAAATAACCTAAAAAGATTTTGAAACAAAAGGACTCAGAAATAAATCGAAGACTCGTACACCAATTAAAATGAAATCTTATTTGGAGTTTATGGAATTGATTGACCACCCAGAGGTTGTCAGTTTGGGGAAGAGGCTCAAAGGAGCTTTGTTGCTGATTTTGCATCGCTTTGCGTGCCGAGAACCGACCTGAATGCGCGAGCGAGCCAGGTACACGTTGGATTTCCACTCCGTTTTCATCTTCCGGTACTGGGAGGACTTGGAATGGACGAACTGTTTGCTGTAGGGCGCGTTGAGCTCCCCCGTGACTGTGCTCTGAAACGACTTGGAGGTGCTGGTGCTGTTCAAGGTGTGAGGCCTGTGGGAATTGGGCATGTAACAGGAAAGAATACAAGAAAAACTGAAGATTTCTCCGAAAAGAGCCACAAAACCCAGTAAATTTTTGTTTTGCTTTAAGACATACACACACTTAAAGCCAGCTAGCGGAGACAACAAAGCAGTTCCTCTGGTTTGGGCATGCACGTACACAGCCAGAGACGACAGGGTTTGTAAGCAGCAGACGAAAGCACAAATAACCCTAAGCAGCCTATAAACCCTGGGCTGTACTATGTGAAATTAAAACAAAATACCTTAACACAAACCTCTTGACATGGGTACTCATTTTAGGCTCGGCACGGGCGCAGCCCGTGGGGTTGATGGCAAGAGGCAGCTCCATTAAGGGGTTTCGGCCGTAGCGGAAAGTGTAGTTCTCACAGGCCTCAACCCCTGGCAGCTGCAGGGAGAGAGACAAAAACAAACACACAAAACCCCAGTAATTACGTGGCAGCAGCACCCGGCACAACAGGCCCCTCCCCAGGCTTTTTTCCTCCCCTTGCCCTTCTCACGTGTGTATGAGAGAGGTGACAGTTTGGGGTGGCGCAGGAGCACGGCCGTGGTGACGACTCACCGATTCAGCAATCCTCGCCACTGCAGAGACCGTCAACCCAAAGAGGTCTTCACCCTTCAAATAGCCCGGGAAGAGCTGGAGCATTTCTGACTCCTTCCTTACAGAAGCAACAGGCTCCAAGATTTTATCCCACACACCTACACAACCACACAGAAGGAGAATTACAAGGCTCAAAGACAGAAAGGTCCAGGGCACTAGTTTTGAACGTGCAGACATGAGGAACCCGAGATCGACGCTCACAAGGCAGTTTGGGCTCTAACTAACAGAGCTGCTTCAAAGAGCAGGCAGCAGTAACGACGTCCAAGTCGCTTTTCAGAAAAGAAACCTACTCTAACATTTCTACTCGCTGAATCCAGCTTTAATATCCAAGTTTTCCTCTGTGGGCTTAATACAAATACCCTTTTTAATCTGCAGCTCGGACTATGCCTTCAAAGCTGTCCTCAGTCTTTGCATCATATTGCAAATGCCCAGTGTGAAACAGGGTAGAAATCGCAGCCTTGGAAGCTCAGAGGAACCATCACTTTGCAGCTTCCACACTGGAGCAGTGTGTGAAATGAGACACATTTATCATACGCACGTGGAGTGTGTGGGAGCACTGAGGGGGGGTGCACAGAATCACAGGATCATTATCACAGGATCACAGAATCATTGTGGTTGGAAAGGACCTTCAAGATCATCGAGTCCAACCGCAAGCCCTTCAACACCATCCTGCTAAATAAACCACGGCCCTCGGTGCCTCCTCTACACGTTTCCTGAGCGCTGCCAGGGACGGCGACTCCAGCCTGCTCCAGTGCTTCACCACTCTTGCCATGGAGAAATTTTCCCTAATATCCAACCCAAATATTTACCCTAATATCCAATTCCTAACACGAACGCCCCTTGGCGGAACCTCAGGCCATCTCCTCTTGTCCCCCCAGCAGTTATTTTGGAGAAGACACCAACCTCCTTTTCAAGGCACAGCTTGATAGGGTCACCCCTGAGCCCCCTTTTCTCCCGCCTCCCTAATCCCAGCTCCCGGCGCTGCTCCTCGCGAGGCGGCGCTTCCGTGGGCGCCGCTTACCTTTGGGTGTCGTGTCCGTGAGGACGAGGTCCTCGTGGCCTTGCTCCAGCACCTTGATGACGAAGAGCGGCAGCCCGTCGCGCTCCTCGATGGAGCAGAGGTAGCGGCAGCGGCGGCTCGCGTGCCGCATGCTCCAGTAGAGGCGGCTGGCCTCGTAGCCCACGGGGAAGAGCGCTTTGGGCGAGTGGAAGGCCTGCATCTGCTGGGGCAGCAGCTGCCCCACGGCGTGGAAGATGAGGCTGCCCACGCGGAACGTGTGGTCGCGCTCGCCGCGCTGCACGATGCTGGCGATCTGCCGCACCTCGTCGCGCTGCACGTAGACCCGCCGGAACACGGCAAAGTAGCTCAGCTCCTGCTCGTGGGCGCCCTTGGGCTTGTGCAGGGGGCAAAGCATGGTCTTGTCTTTAAAAAACATGCATTGTGCTTTGATGGCACAGGTGAAGTGGTAAATATTGGTGCACCTCAACCTGTGGCAGCCGCTGGTGGCGCCCATTTTGTGGCAAAACATGCATTTCATCTGCAAGCCCCTCCGCAGGGCCAGCTCCACGTTTATTAAGGCACCAGCTTGGGTCTCATAGACTTCTGTAGACCAAAGAGCACAGTTCAAATGGACCCAAAGGTCTAAATCAAGGTTAAGAAGCCTTGCTGGTCCATCAGTTAACCCGTCGCCCTCCTCGTGGCAGAAGCAACATTTCCTATAGTCTTTAGGCACGGGATCAGGTTTAAGGGTCGTGCCCAACTTTTTAAGGAATTCGTCTATTTCTTCTTCACAAGGAGGTTTGAACGATCCTTTCGGAATCACAATCTGGATGCTCCATTTCTTCCACTTCATTCCTTTCCACTTCTTACTGGGAGGCCGACAGTCGTCCAGACTGCTGTGTATTGCTTTTAACCTGGGCTTTAATTTCACTGTGACCTTGAGCTCGTCCGGCTTTGCCTCCACCTTGGCTGCTTCGAAGGCTGGGGGGAACATGATGGGCGGCGAGGCTGGTGGAGAAGCCTTCTCCTGCAGCTGGGGCAGGCAGTGCACGTCCAGGGTGGAGATGTTGTTGCTGTACTGGTGGAAGGCTTTGGGCGGCCTTTCCTTCATCGGCGACTGCGGCAAAGATGGACCCGACTCCTGACAAATGCACGGGACACCCTTTAGAAACAATCCCCAACCTCAAAAAGCCCCTTGAAAACCCTGTGAGGATGGAACTCCATTTAATAAGCCATTCCAGAAGAGGAAACACAAGTATTTCAGGTCTATGTATATGTTTTTTTGAGAAACATCAAAAAAAATCCCACAGTACTTTAGATCAGGTAACCAGGAGATTTAATACTTCGGTGTTTTGAGAAAGTTTGCACAGCTTCCTCCAAATTTGCACAGCAAATTAACCTAAAATACGGGTCACATAACTAACTGAGAGAATAACAAATTTGTTATTTGTTAGTTTTCATGGAAACAAGAAGTAATTTCCTGCAAGGCTCCGGATTAGTCACATACCTTGAGGTACTGACTATTCAGTCACAGAAACAAGATTTAAACCTGGAGAGACTTAAAAAAGAAAAGGAAAAGAGACAGAACCCAAGGAAAGCAAAGGAAGATTCAATTCAAAGAGTTTCCTGGGCATTGTATGATTCACCTTGAAAGAGAAAATGGAAGGATCAAGAAGCAGAACATAAAATTGAATTAATTTAATTATGCACATGGGGATGCCCTTGTGCAGAAATGACACCCGGTGTTAATACTAGTGAGCCTGAGTTGTGGGGTACCCTGCAAGGAAACCACCCATCTTCTCATCTATTACTTCTCATCTATTACTCTCCATTGCTGCTTCTGAAAAATAAGCAGGATGTATTTGAAAAAAGACCCTTTTTTTACAGTATGAGGAAGTGCTCATGAGGTGGGCAATGCTTGAAGAATGTGGCCTGTGATGCCCATCGGTTCAGGGAAAACAGGAACATTTGAACTAGGAAAAGTAAAAACAAAGCGAGCTAAAAGCAGCTGTCAAAAGTTTTTAATCTAGGAAGTGAAACAAAGCTACCCAGATCATGTAGTCTTGAATGAAGGCTATTTAATTGCAATTATTACAAGATTAGTCTTTTACCCGTGTTAGTTGTAAGCGAAATTTGAGAATCTACTCACGGATCAACTAAGCTTAGATTGGGACTAACCTGACCCTAAGAGATTTAACCGTATTTGTCTTTGAAACTAAATGTTCCTGTATGTGACAAGAAACAATGGCCTGTGCAGAAGTACTGAGTTTCTTTAAGTTTTTCTGGGTGTCTCTAGGAGTGCCCTTGGGTAGAAAACTGAAGCACAGGATTCTGTGCACATGGGCGAAACCCCTGACCTAATCCCACTTTCGATGAAGCAAATTTCTTTACATGTTGTGCAAAAATCTATCTCCAGTATTTACAAGCTCTTTACCCTTGTCACTGTCAGCCAGAAGACTCTTTATTCATGTTTTGGTAACTGATGTTAAAAATGGCAATTTTGTCCAGAAAAAAAATGAATAATCAAATAAGATTGTTTTCCTAGATACACAAAGAAAAATTGAATCATGCAGCTTACGTTTTTTTTTAACTGTAACGTAAGCCAAATAAAAATCGAAAACAACCCCAGAAGATGTAACTGGGGGTTGCTACAATGCCAAGAGAACCAAAATGCCCAGACTGCTTTTCCGTGCCTGGGTCTTCAAAGCCTGCAAGGACGAGAGAGATGGTTTGTGCTTTGGTATACATCTCTGTTAAGACAGCAAGTCTAGTAACTTATTTATTTAATAAGTTAAAGTTATTAATAAATTTAATAAGTTATTAATAAATTTAATTAATATAAATTCCACCTCATGTTGCTGGTTCCAAATTTCGATGTACTACCATAGAACAACTCATTTATAAGTCTCTAAAATGAAGTACCAACACCTCTCAACCCACTTCTGTACTTCAAAAGATAGCTGCAATCATCTCTGCTCACTCTTATTCTGCTGGATTTTGATACTTACCTTGTTCTCTGAGGTTTTTGCTTGAACAGCTGCTGAATAAAGAACGAAGCAGTTGTTGCTACAGAATACAATGTCCTTCATTTTATCAGAGCCTTCTTGTGAATCCTGGGAATCAAGCACAGAGATTATTAGAAGTGCATTTTAATCATATTTTTCACAGAAGTTAATGAAACAGATCTCCCTATCTGGGCTGGAAACTCTGTCTACCTCTTTATTTGCGGAAAATCTGTGAAATAATGAGCTCCACTGTGTTATAAATACTTGGTTATTTGACAGATTAAAACATTAACACCACCTACAACCTGGTTCTGGAGCACTTCTTGTCTTTAACAGAAGTTAAAGGATCAAAATAAAGCTTTCTACATTGTGCACCCATCTGCTCCATAGGCACCCTCGCTAAGAAGAAATCCGTTTTATCTTTCCGTGACAAAAGAACATCTCATTTCAGCCTAGTCAAAGGCAGATCATGCTGTTTTATCTACTGATCCATCTGCAAAACATTACTGTGAATTCAGGGCTTTTACGACTACACAAGCCCATTACTTTTAAATATACATTCTGATGCTATACCTTCATTGTGTAATCACCTCCACGTTATTTAAACGAAGAGCAACAGTACTTTTTTTAATGAGTGACAGCTCCCAGTGTAAATATTCTATATTTGCATATGGCCATAAGGCACTAGCTGGAATTATTTCTTTACACAAAAATGGATAATGAAAAATACAAAAAGACTGAACCTTGACAAATTGTTTCCTGCTCAAGACAGAAAGAAAAAAATTACTTTTATTATTCTATTACTTTTTGAAATGGCAAAATGGAAAGCGGCAAAACGTCCCACACTGAAGTGGTCACAGAAGGATGGCAGGAGGATTCAGAAAGGTGTCATATATATGGAAACTATTTTAGGATTTTTTTTTAGGAAATGAGGAAATTTTAGGGATTTTTTGAACTGTATTTTATACAGGTCACACCCGTGACATTTTCCATGGGGCCTGTAAAGATGCCCGGAAGTCCCCATCCTGCAACAACACACGCTGAGAGGTGTGAATGTGGAGGAGCCAGGTGAGGAGCATCCCATGGGCACGACAAGCAGCTTTCATCTGCTGCTTTCATTCCCTCCTGGGCCGTTCCGGGAAGGAGCCCCCTCGGCCCTGCAGTACCTGCTTGAGGAAAGGCAGGTCTTTGAAGGACTTGCGCACGCCGCTCCCGAGCACCACCACCTTGCAGTGAGAGCACCAGCGGGGCCTCAGCGTGGAGCTCTCCGCAAGATTTTGACTGGGATCCTTATAGGCAGCTAGACCTGGAAAACAGGTTTGGAAGAAGCTCTATCAGATTAAATCAGGTTTACGCTGAAGCCATGGTAATATTCAGTGATTTGGAGGAAGCGCAGCCTCCTGGAGAGGACGTGGCAGGCGAGCTTCAACAATGTCCTAACAGGGACGTTGTTTAAACCAGATCAAACCCAACCTGCGTCAACATCAAGGCAAAAATACATTCCTGTCTGTGAAATAAGCAATTCAAATAATATAGGAATAAATGGTTAAGGACTTGGGTAAAACTTTTGAGCATAGGGATGATGGATCTCAGAATGATGGATTTAAAATCCCACTGGACAGAAAGCTTAACAAGCCATGGACTGTGCATGAAACCCCTCCCTGCCAAGGGGACAGACAGTGCAAGGGGTCTTTCCCATTATGTTATGACTAACACCAGGAGGAGATCCACAGGCACTGATCACACATGTATTCCTTAAACAAAAATCCAAAGTCCAGTTCCAGAGCACGACTTCATACAGCTGAAAGGGATCAGCACTGACTCAACGGGAATTTCAGAGCTGCAAAGAACTGAAGGCCACTCACCATTGCTGCTTGCAGGAAAGGGCACGGCAGGTTGCTTGAGTCCATAGGGCCCTACAAGCCTGGCAGATGCCACGGATCCTGCCTGAGGACCCTGAAATAGCAAGTGCTGCCTGTACTCCCCAGCCGGGTTCAGCCTGGGCCCGCCTGCTGCTCCCACGGCGGCCGGGACGTCTGGAGCGGCACTAACCTCGTAGCTGTTAGGAATTCTGACATGGAGCAGATTGGAGAAGGCAGCTACTACATTACTAATGTTCTAAAAACAACAATAAAAACACCTTTGTTTTAACCAGGCAGGCAGTAAAACAGCAGTAAGATTAACTATTACAGATTACAACAGCTGCTTTAGTACACTATTCTACAACCCATTCTAATAGTTATTACATGTAAAACATGTTAATTCCTGCTATATTTTATATAAATAACACACAAGCTTATTTCTTTTACCTCAGCAGCTGTGGGATGTAAAGTAATTGCTACAGATATAAGGCCAGATTTAGGACCATTCTGGGATGGTCCGAGCTGAGAGGCAAAGAAGCCAGAACCAGGTAATGCTCCTGAACCAGGTTCTGATTTTATATAATTCCTTTTGGCTTCTGAACCTGGAAATAAAATGAAATACACATGAGGTTAATCCTACATGGGTATGAATGAAACAACAAAATAGAGCCTAGGCTTAATTGTTCCTGTTAGTGCAGTCTCACCTTTGCCAGTGCTGCTGGGGAGGATCGGGATGATGGGAGATGGAACAGGCTCCGGGTTCTCCTCCTTCACGACTGACAAGTCTGGATACCTACTTATTTCCATCCCCACAACACTTTCCGGAGAGGAAGATGGAACGAAGCTGTCAGGAGTGTCCCTGTCCTCACAGTGATCCTGAACCCTGGAACAAAACCCACAAGTGCTGGTTTGCAAAGGGCCTAAATCCCCTTTTTTTTTTGGCCATCTGCTTTCATGGCTGAATTCACTAGTCCATCCTTCCTCATCCACACGCAGGCATCAGTGTTTAAAGGGTTGTTGAGCCACACGAAAGGGAGACAACAGGCAGGGTCTTTGTAGGGAAACCTCTATGATCCAGCAAACATTTCTAATATGTAACAGAAATGGAGTATGATGGGGGAATTTTGAGGCTGGCATTTGCACAGTAGGCTGTCATCTCCAGGAAGACCAAATTATACAGCTCTCTACTACTTTTAGCAGGTAATCAAGTCTTGACAACTTAGGGGGAACACAGTGTCTAGCCCTGGCAGAATTCATTTTTCCACTACACTGTTGTCCCACATGTGGAAGGCCGGGAGGAAACGGGGACACAGAATCCCTTTCAGTTCTCTGCACCGTGTGGCTGTGCACCACAAATTTCATTTCTTCACACCTTCACAGACTCATCCCCTACTGAAAGATGACAGTTTGTTCCAAGCAAGTGTGGAAGGATGCGGGGGGAAACGCACCTCAGCTCCTCCTGATTGTTGTGGGGCGGCGTTGGAAGCGAAGCAGGAACATCCACAGTTTTAGGGCCCTGAGCCATCGCTCTGGCTAATAAATCATCCTGTGGTCTGAAAGGCAACTGGAACTGCTTTGGTCCCAGAGCTTTGGTAACTGAAAGAGACAAACAGCACAAGGAGACATAGGAACAGCTCTTACTCCCACATGTTCTGTGTAGCAGGTGGCTCTTGGATACAACCAAGGCATTCCAGCAGACATGTTACCACGTAACCTCCTCTCATTTGAACGTTTTTGACTAGTGATTTATGTTGACACTTCCCCAAATCTGTCAATTCTGAGCAAAAAAGGGTTTGCTGTTCTTGAGTACACTTTCTGCCCAATATATGAGAGGAAAAAAGCTTTATAACAAGCAATGAAAGATTGGAAAGAACTGTTTTTAATCACAGAAAAATGCTCAAAAAGGGCAGTATAAGATCTTGTTTAAGAAAAAATGGGGGTTAATTTGACAAAATTGCAAGTATTAGAAGCACATATTGATGACATATTAGACCTCCTGAGTAGGTATTTCAGACAAACTGCTTCTGAGCTTGCTTACCAACCTGTTCAGCCATTTATACTCAATGTAGAAGAACGGCTTTGAGGTTTTCCTCTGCATTTTTAAATGTGCAAACACACGTTTATAATCACACTGCACTTTTGAAACAGAGACAATTACCATCTGGCTTTATTCTGGTGTAAAACAGAGCTGGCTAAAAACAATGGCAACCTTCAAACGAGGTTATTTATGCTGTTGTTATAAAGGACGACAACAGCTGCTGAACAACAGCCCCGTTATCTGTTTTGCAGTTCACTACATGTGTGACTGGTTTACTCTAAAGAGCTTAAGTAGCAGCCTTACCATCATGCCCTCCTAGCATGGCAGCCTTGCCAGCGAGCTCCTCGGTGGTGGCAAAGCCATTCACCAACTTCTGGCAGGCCACGGGGGGCGGCGTGGGAGGAAGAGAGGCTGGGGGGGTGGGCGGGTTGCTCAGATTGTTCTGCTGCATGAGAGGAAAGAACCATAAATTAGCTTAGAAACACAGCGAACACTTGCGTGGGTCCAGCACTGGGCAAGTTACTCACATGTTTTGATGCCCAGAGGCAGTGCTGGTAAAGAGTGAGAGTTAATTCCCAAACATGGGGTGAAATACATGGAAATATCTGCTATAAAAGACTCTGCCTTTCCTTTCTGGAACTCCAGTGTATTAGGAGGGAAAAGCAGTTTACGTGAAGGGCACAGAGGGAGGCCACCTCACACTGACCACAGGCTCAGGCTGTCACTGGAGCAGCTCCCAAGCAGGAGCAGCCTCACTGCAAGTTCACAAAGCTCCAGGTTACTTCTCGCCAGCTTCCTTGCCTGCCCGCATTTCCAAGGAAAATTACATTACAGTTTCTGCATCTACTCTTGTTGCACTCGTGCCGACAAAGCCACTGCATCCTGTTCACTTTGGAGGCCAACAACTACTTCTGCTGGGTCAGATTCTCACTTATTTCATGTCAGGAAGGGGTGAAGGCCACTGTTTGCTCAACAGTTACAGAATATATTAGGGTAGCGAAGCAGCAAATACAATTTTGTATGTCACTATCTGCCCATTCTCTGAAATTTGCCTTACTCCTCTCAGAGTTTTGAATTTTGTGGTTTATTAGCTCACCAACAAACAGACTATTTTGTTAAGAGCTCTTGGGCTCTTAGTTAGGGCTTAGTGGGCAAATGAGGAAAGTCTTATTTCTCATTTAATTCACATTAAGAGATGCTTTAGTGCTTGCAACGACTTTTATGAAGAACTGGGAATTCAGCCTTTTCTGCTTCATAAAACTGTAATTACAATTTTCACCATTTACCATCCGCTTGTAATGGGGATACTTGTACTTTAATTTGTTGACAACACAGTTTCCAGAACTGACTTCCACTTTTAGAGAGTACAACAACCACTGTCTAGTCTAGCAACAGAAAAGGATCTCCTTGTGCTTGCACAAACTGCAGGAATTCTCACCCAGCAGCAGCAATAACGTCAGGATCTTGTCTCAGAGAGAGGATGGAATGCAAATCCCAATTAAAAATGTACCTTGTAAATGAGCTGGGAGTAATAATCTGAAGCCCCATCCAGAGTAGCACTCCCAAAGCCTCCCACGAGCCGATTTCCACCATTCAGCTGCCCGCTGCCGTAGGGAAGGAAGTGTGCAAAGCTCACTCCAATTATTGGCTCCATCAAAGGCAGAAGAGAAAGCTGCTGCATTAGGAGTGCAGGGAAAAGTTAGGAATTAATTTAACTATAAAACAGACGCATCACAAATCCCCAAAGCTTAGGAGAGTGGTTTCTAATAAAATAAAAATAAAAAAAAAATCTGAATTTTGAGATTCAAAAACTCTGAAGTTTGAGACAACTGTCTCTAAAAGGGACCATCCGGATCACCAGGGAAGCTGGTTCCCTGTGCAGCAGGGCCACAGCTCTGCGCTCCAGGCTCCCTGGCTGCTCCATCAGCTGCCACAGCTCAAAGGGCTCCCATGGCTCCCTGAGCACCTGCCAAGGCAGCAGAGCTTCCAAGCCAAAATCACTTCAAACCTCCACATTTCCCAGTCTTCTCGAAGTTTCATTTTCCATCGCCCTGTACTCAAAATTCAGCTTAATTATCAACCTCATTCCCTTCATGAGAGATCCACCCTTTCAAGCACCCTCTGGCTGCCCAAGCCAGGCTCTCTGTGGTCACCTGCTTCAGCTGGATGAACGTGTCAGCGTTGGGGTAAATGGCTTGTTTTTCTTCTTCCTCTTTTTTCCTTTTCTTGGAGCGAGGAGCTGCCTTCTCTCCCGTCCTCTGTGCTCGTTTGCTTCTCTGCTTCTTTGTTTCCTGTCCTACCTCTGCTCTTTGAAGCTGGCTGTTACTGCACCCAAACGCACCCTGCGTTTGGTTTCCTGCAGTTTGCTGAGATTAAAAAAGAAAATTAAGTAGAATTTTTGATGGTTTAGAATGTAGCCTCTTCACATTTACTTCATGTTAGTCTAAACGAAGACAAACAGTAAAATACATGATCAGGTAACAAACACACTTTTTAACTTTGCTGGTATCTGGCAACTCTAACTGCTGCCATGACCTGACGCAGAGAATTATGAATTGTCATTAAGGCCCCATAGACACCTGAAAACTTCATTAGAACTCACAGACAAGAAACATTTTCTTTCAAATACCACTTGAATAAAGTTGCATGCACTCACCCTTAGAGGTATTCATTAAGGCATAATGTGAGGAAAGCTTGGCTACAGAAAAGAGCTGCAAAGCTTACTACAAATTGACTTCCAGCTCAGAAATAAAAATATTCTGAAGCAGTGCTGGTTTGAACCATTAGGTAAAATACTTTCAGAACAAGATTTCCAAGTCATTCTTCAAATCAAAGGGCAGTTGTGTAGAAACAATCAGAGGAGCATTTACTAATAAAACAGATTGTGTCAAGGGTAAGACTCATTTCTTTCTATCAATCACTATTCTTAATAGCTCGACACAACTCTGACCTCAAAAACCTCTCAGCTATTCCTACCACTTATGTTTTAAGCATGGGTTTTGTAACATTTTCCTCAGTCATTGATACCCACCTTTAATTGTTTGCCTTTTATTCAATCTGAATGCATTTTGAATTTTGTTTCAAGTGTATTTAGCATTTATGGAGCCATAAAACAAAATTAAGTAGAGATTAAAGATTACAATAAAAGAAACAACCAAATATAGTGTCAGGCATTCCCTATCCCTTATAGGGAGCCACGTTCTTTAGGTGCAAGAACTTCCTAAATTATTAAATTACATAAAGCCATTAATATAAAGAATTAATGCCTCCTTCCATTAAAGTGCCATTGCTAATTAGTGAAATACTTTTTAACACCGAACCGCAGTAATTTTAGCAGATTTAACAATTTCACACTTCGGGTATCTGGTAAAATACAAGAGAACCTGCTAAAATTAAAGACAATGCATCAATTCCACAGGCAAAAAGTAAGTCCAGACTTGGTGCGTTCACAGAGCTTCCACACCAAATACATTAGCAGCTGTAAAACCTTGCCTTTTATCTTGGTAAGTATTAGAAGGGGCAAGATTTAGAATGATTTTATATATATTAATGCATTATATGCGTATATATTGCATTTTAACAATAAATTCTGCATATACTATCTATGAAGACATATTAAAATGCATTCCCTTTGTGAGAGCAATGAATTACTCGGGCAGCGATGGCAGGACAGAACCTTGCAGCTCTTCCGTTCCACCCTCGTGCAGGCCGCCTATGCCCAAGGCCTCTCTCCAAAGCCACTGGTGACGGGACAAACTCATCTCAGACTGCAGACAACCCCTAAACCCGGTGCTGGACTCACCATCCCCTCAGGTGGCGTCTGCTTCTCCGGTATCTTCTGATCTCCAGCAGCCTCCTCTTCCGTGGGGCAGCCGCCCTCTGGTTTCTGACTCAGCAGAGAGGAGGATTTCTTGTTTTTCAGCAGGTGTTTCAGCAGCTCGTTCCCCGACTCGCCCTTTGCCGCAGGGACACTGCCTGGTTGTGTGGGGCTCTGCGCTGACGGGGCGGGATGTGACGGCGCCTTCTCCTCCTCCACCTTAACTCCACTTGGATTCTCCGCTCCGGGCTCGGGCTCCCCCGAGCACTGCTCCGTTTCGGCCTTCTCCAGTTTAACCTCCTGGGTGCTGCTGGGAGCATCCGCTGGGGCCTTCTCGGCCTCTGGATCGGCGCTCAAAGCGCCGCCCGGGGGCCTGCAGTCCAGCTCCGGAGAGGCCGGGCCCTCCGCCGGGCCCGGGAGCTCCGCTGCCTCCTGCTCATCCGGAGGCCGTGAGGGCTCGTTGGGGGTGTTAACCGCCAGGGTGGAGGCAGAATCAGAAACGGTTGGCGTTGATGGAGCGGTTATATCCGAATGCGGTGTTGACGGCGCTTTTAGTGACTCGGCGTCATCCTCCTTTTTCTTTTTTCGAGTCCTTTTCTTTTTCCCCTTCTCCTCTGGGATTATATCCGAGTACAGCTGTATAAGGGACTGGTTTGAGCCAGGGAAATTTGTTGCCTGGGGTGTGCTCGTGTCTGAGGCGCAGGAGGGGCCGCTGCCCAGCGCTGGGGTCGAAGGCAGCGCGGGAGCAAATGGAGGCCTGACTTGGGTCTGCGCAAAGGAGGCCCCGGGGAGACTCCCATGAGGTTGTTTAACAGCATGGAAACTGGGGGCTCCGCCAGGACCAGCAGGTGCCTCAGGCCCAAAAGCTGCAGCCCCCACTGCTCTCCGCTCGCTGCTTTGTATAAAGTTTGTGGCAGGGGGCGAGTTCACAGGCCCCTGCTGCAACATCTGTCCCATTTGCTGCTGCTGCTGCTGCTGCGGAGACTGCTGCAGAGGCCGAGGCGTTTGGATGAAATCACAGGGCAGCTCAGAGTTGAAGAAGGGTATCTGAGCCAGGGCTGCCCTGTTATTCAGCTCCGGCGCCATCATGCCGTGCTGCTCCAGCTCCATCCTCTGCTGCAGGGCCCGCTGCCGATCCACCTCCTGCATGAGCTGGATGCGCTGCCGCTCCTGCTGCTCCCGCAAGCGCTCCTTGCGCTCCCGCTCCTGGAAGCTCTCGCTGAAGGGGTTGTTGTCGTCGAACTCCACCCTGGGTGGCGGCGCCGTGGCCGCGGCGGCGGGGCCGGGCGCTGGGGCGGCGGGCGGCAGCGGGGCCATGGGTGGCTGCGGGGCTCCGGACTGCGGGAACCGCGCGGCGTTCAGGGGCAGGTGGCCGGCGGGGGCGCTCGGGGCCGGCCAGGCGGGCAGGCCGGGCACGCGGGGCGCGCCGGGCGCCTGGTGCGGCAGCGGCGCCGGCACCAAGGGGAAGCCGGGCTGGCCCATGGCGGGCGCCAGGGCGTGCGGGGCCAGCCCGCACTGCTGCTGCTGCTGCTGCTTGATCCGGTACTCCTCGATCAGCTCCGCGTGCTCCTTCTGCTGCTTGCGGATCTGCAATGACAGCGGCATTACTGGCCTCTCGCGGGGACTGCCCGCCCGGGGGCACAGTGCAGCCCCCTCAGCACTACGCATCCGCCAGGAAATGAAGCTTATGCAGGAAGAGCATTCTGAAGTTTTATTTTTTTCTCACTTTTTAAGGGTAAATGGCTGTGATCTAACTAGAAATACAACTCCCTTCCCTCCTCCCCCCCATTAAAAAACCATACATATTGATGGCTACACTACTGTCATCCAAATCAGCAGTAGGACAGCACCTGAAAGTCCCAGCTACCACGACTGCACTGCTAGAAATGACACAAACCTGAAACTGATCCTTGCCCTAAAGGCCTCTACCCCACACATGGGATAGCTCGAGTTGAGAACAGGCAGGGAAAAGGAATACACGGGAACAGCGACGGACACGGACACGGGTGACCTTCCAATGCCAGCTAGAAGTTTTAAAAGATGTAACTGAAAAGTTTTCAGGAAAACATCAAGGTACCTTTACATTTATTCAGAGGTGATGAGAACCCCTGAACATACAGCAGGGGAAAAAAACTAGAAGCAACCAAATGCTACTTCAAAAAATCTTAGGATGAAAATTCATTTAAAGATGAAAAATAAAGGAAACTTAATTATGGGACACAATATGAATCTGCACGACACGAAGCAGTTGTTATTCTGACTTTAGTTTAAGTCTAAAGTGAAATAAATAAAAAACAGAGATATACGTATGCGTACATATATATTTTTTCCCCACACGACAGAGACTGGTTAAAGTGAGTATTTTTGTATTTGTTTTATTTGTGATTTATCATGGAAGGGAAAGAAAAAGGAAGAAATGGAGCAGACCTAGTTCACGTGCATCCATTCTCTTCCACGTAGTGAGAGAAGACAGGATGAGGATCAGGGACCACTAAGGACTCCAGGCCAAGGGGCCTGCTGCCAAACTCTCCCCTGACCTTAATACAGGATAATTCTACAATATTTTAGTATTTGGCAGGTCTATTGGTTGCTGACAGTGAAGAGATTCCCCACTTGGACAATCAGGAGGCATCAGGCCAGGCAATGTGCAAGTGATGGCAGGAGGAAAAGAGCACTCGAAAATGCCGGCAAAATCGGAGATTGACCAGAACAGCCCCAGACTTAACTTTAATCTCAGTTACTAGAGTCATAGGTACTAGGTGCAGCAAGTGAAATTCCAACCGAATACAGGGAGAAAAAAAGTAATCCCACGTAGTGAAAAGTGATTATGCACTGGAATGCAGACCCAGGGAGGCTGAAAAATCTCTGCTCCTGGGAGACTTTCAGAACTTGACTGGACAAGGCCCTGAGAAATGTGATCTGTGCAGCTAGTCCAGCTTTGATCAGGAGGCAGAACTAGATGATCTCCAGATATTCCTTCCAACCAACACTATTCCAGGACACGGCAACAGGTAAAGCTCTGATGTTATGGGTCTAGGAACATGGCAGGTCATAGGACTCCAGTGATGTTGGAGATAGAGTGGAAAGAGATTGTCCAACAGTAATGTTTAACTGGCATCTAACCAAAATGTTCTGATTAAATGAGGACATCTGAAAAAGCCTCTTCTGGGATTCATTCAAGCTTGAAACCGAACCCTCCATGCTAAGAGTTTCCTTCTCCACCATCTGAATCTTTCATTTACGCTCCTCCTCGTATCTGCTCTGCTCCAGATAATCCTCCTGAACAATTTCCCCCTTCCCAAAACACAAACCCAGCTTTTTGTCCTAACTTTTGCTGTAGCATCTTCTCCTACGATTCCAGTGTCACCCAAAATCCAAAACAATGCTGTCACCCAGGCAAAATACAATAGGATGCGGTTTCCTCTAAACACACTCCATGGTATCTCACCATTTTACTTAACATTTTAACAGATTTAAAGGAAAGAGTCACACCAGTACAAGAGCTCAGTGTGAAGGTGATTAAGTTCCCCCTGCACGTAATCACGTACCTGCTCCAGCTGCTTTTGCACCATACTCTGCTGCTCGGTTACGTGTTTAAGCTGCTCTGCATCTTCCTCGGGGAACTCGCGGCCGGCTTTCTTGGCCGTTCGCTGCTTGGCCGAGAGGGCTTTTTTGGATTTTCTGTGTGCTCCAATTTGTTCCTCAAGGTACTTCTGTTGCATTTGGAGGAGCTGCTGGGTTTCTTGCAGCCACTCCTCGTATTGCTTTCTTTGTGAGTCATCTGGAGGCAGGGGAAATAAAGTATGATATGACCTCACCCTATAGAATCCAGCTTTTAAAGATGAAACCTAATAAGGTTCCTCTCTTATTTTGTGAACCTGCTAGTTAAGTTCAGCCAAATTTAACTGAGGAGTTGAGGTCTCAGAGATATTAAGTTCTTAAGAGAGTTATGGGTAAAGGGGAAAGAGATGCCAAACTGTTGCCTTTACTGAGAAAAAAAGCAGTTTTAACTTAGTCTCTAGTGAAGGGAAAGAAATTAAAGATATAAATTTACAGGAGATGAGGCCTAATTAATTTTAGCGCCCACAGAACGGTTTTGTACATTTATATCTGTTTTTGTTACATCTTCTAAACTCCAATCAAACTAAACTTGTAGCCATCCATTGGTGTGCATGAAAAAAAAGGCATTACTTAGCATCAGAAATGTATGTCAAGACCTACGTGACAGAACAAACAAATGAAAAACCCCAACAGCAAATACCATAAACCTCCAGCACTTCTGAGAGCAAACATGCAGGACAGTGGAGGAGAGCAGCCTCCCAAACCATGTAGGTATAAATTGCATAAATCTGCACCTCACTGCAGCTGAAAACAACTCACATCCCACTCTGTATCACAGAAACTGCAGCAGCAGGACTGCCAAAGCAGATGCATGAATCCTGCGTTCAGAAGTGCAATGAAACACTCCTTTCTAATCAGACTGCATTTGCAATTCCCTTTTGTTTGAGAGACATCTTAAAATTCTTAGGAAAAGAATAAAGACTAGAGGGGGAAAGAACTGCATTCTTTTTTAGAAATGGCTGAAAACTTGGACTGCACGAGATACTCCTGGTTAATCATTTTGAGAAGTATGAATTGAAATGCAAACTGCAAGTCAAAGCCACTGCAAGAAAATGAACTGGAAAATAAAGGAGCTTTTTACAACTTGTCTTCTGCACACAGGTAACTTTTTCTTGGTGCTGGTATTGAGCACCCGGTGCCTTTTTCCTTCCCACAGGGACACACACCCTAACACAGCCTGTAACTGGGATCTCATCCTTTCACCAGCAAGAAAAGCCCACTCGCTCCCAAGCCTCATGGCTCAGTGATCCATGGATTTCAGATCTTTTTCCTGGAGGCAAAATGATCACATCCAATAAAACTCTCAGCTCCACTGAGCTCCACTGGAGCAAGCGATGGGGCCTGGTGACAGCACCTCTGCTCCCACAGTAACGCTGCAGTGATAACCCGGATAACCAGGGCCAAGGCACAGGATTTCCCTTACAAAGAAGGTTTATCTCCTATAAGGAATAAAGGTGCCCGTGTGACAGGGTGATTTCCGTACAACTGTGTCTTCCTCATGCTCTGCTCCCTCCCACACTGTTAATTTTGCTGCTGTAGGGATGGTCACTGAGTCTAACGGCTCCAGGGAATCTCTCTGTGGGCTCCAGGGGCCACTGGCTTTTCCAGTGATCAATCTGGAGGAACTAATCGTGTCACCTGAAGTGACAATGGAGGGAAGCAGCTGCGGACGGGAGAAACAGGGAGGTGCAAATGGAAGCAGGGAAATATGCACAGCTCCAGATAAGAGCAACTGCTCCTGAAATGAGGAGCAGATGTGCTGCCGTGCCCAGAACCATCTCCTGCTCTGCCCCTACCGCAGCCAGGCCACTGCTGGGCACCATTTAAAACCTTACTGGAAATTAATAGAGAAAACAGGAGCCAGTTCCTCACTGCCTTTTAACATTGCTACTCCATTTCTGGAAAAGGTAAAATTACAAACATTAATAAAAATTCTACTAATAATTAGGAATTTGCATAGGACACAAAGTTTAAGCTGACAACAACGCCACACACAAAAAAATTGCTTCCTAAATAAAAGATTCTGACATTGTAGACTGTTATAGAATAATATAAATTCCTATATATATATATATATTATATAAATAATATAAATAATTTATAAACCTATTTTTAGGAATACTAAAATATAACAAAAGACAGGATTTTTTCTTAAGCCAGCAGTCAATTAATAGATACAATTACTGTTCTCACACAAACCCAAATAATGACATTTACTTTATTACTCTTTTTGATGAGCATCAGGAAACTCAGTTTTCTTCATTTTCTCTCTTTCCTTAGGTTATTTCAGGACACCTTTATAGACAAATTGTCAATATCATTTACTATGTGCCCTTTAATGAACTGGTGTCATAATGATGACATAGTGCAATTTTAGAAGAGTGAATTCGTCAAGCTAAGAAGATGTTTTTGGAAAAAAAAATCCATATATTGTCATTTTATTAAAAAAAAAATCATAGGACAAAACACCAACAGACAATAAATGATTCGATCTGTACTTACTGACAAAACCAGGACCAAAATTTGGAGGATTCGGCCTAGAAATCTGAGGTGCCAAATTCCCATCCTAGAAATTTCAGAGAAATACACAGACAAGGCAATTAAATGCTGATTCCATTTAAAAGAAACCCCGAATCAGTTAAGTTTCTGAGGCACTTGTGCAGCTGGCAGGCAGCTGCATTACCTGGGGGAGTGCCTGCTGCAGGTGAGTTTGCCCTTCGGTGCTCTGGGCTCCTGCCACTGGCTGCCCCATAAAGGGAAACCTATAGATACATAAAGAGAAGGAGAATTTGTGATCTTCATGACATTTTAGAAGACTGTCCAGCAAAACGAGCATTAACTGTTGTATGGCCCTCAAGAGATTTCCAACACAAGGTGCATCGTGAGAGGTGTCATTAATAATTAGTCAGTAGGCAAACAAGAAGAAATCAAAGGTGAGGCCACAGTAGAGCAGCAACGTTACGACCAGAGCATCCTACTGCTTTTCTTTTGGGAAATACTCCAGTATTAGCAAGGACAATGACTGACACACAGAACCTTCCCCCTCTTGAGCAGCAGTGGGCACTACCTACCTGTTCATGACCATCGGTGGCATCCCCAGGTTGCTCTGTGCCATTACTTTATTGATCCCCTTAAGAGCTACCATTTTTGCTTTCATTATAGGATCAGTAATTGCATCGAAGTCTATAAAAGAAAGAACAGTAAAAGTCCATTAAACGGCTGAGTATTCCATGATTTTACCCCAAATGGACTTGTTCAGATTTAATCTGTGTGTTCATTTCTGTGCTTTCAGTTGTCCCACGCAGCGTGGGATCAACATGATGGATGTTCCTCGTGAAGGACATTGAACCACGGTGCAAAGACAAGACAGGACAGACCTGATGGCCAGTGTAGCTACAACCAACAGCCCTGTAAAAGTTTCATATTTTCTGAATAACAACTGAATGACAGCACAGATTCTCAATCTCACTTCCCCATCTCCTGTGTTACAGTAAACAGGAAAGGGCTGTTTTTTTTAAATTCTTTTAGGAGGTGCAGAATTATTTGTGATGGGTTTGTGCCTTGCCTGGATTTCAGGCAAGTTAATAAAACAGCCTGCAATTACTCTCTTCCTTGAGCGACTTTGAGCACTGCAAAACAATGCAATAAAACCACCACAGACTGAAAATTAACAGGCTGAATATCAAGAACAACCTCTGTCCCTCCTCATTTAACTGTTTGCAAAGGCTCCAATTTACCCCATTTCATGAATGAGAAACTGGTGTGTAAAGAGAGTACGTGACACGGCTGAGGGGAGGGAAATTCAGCAGCGACACCGTGTTACCTTGATGCCAACAAGGCCACCAGGAGCTTTGCCCCGAGCTGGGAATCCCACTATGTGTTCAGTTCCCAGACGTCCATTAGACTTGTGTGTCAGGCTGCTTTCTGCCAGGCCAACTTCACACTCCATATAACTAGGCATTTCCTTTCACGCTATATATGCATGTACATATTAAGCTGATTTTTGAACCCCCAGCCACCCGACACGCACAGGGACCATCTACCTACCGATATTGGGGAAAAAAGGCTCAGAGCGCTGGCGGATCATGGCCTGCATCTGCCGCTGCTGCTGCTGCTCCTGCCTTTCTTGATCCAGAAGATCCTGCAGAAGCAGTGGCTGCTCCTCCAAGAGAAGGGGCCTCTCCCGGTTCTGCTGCTGGGCTAATGGCTGAGGCAGCATCAGCTGCTGGGGGCCGGACAGGCCACTCGGCCCAGGGCGACTCGTTACGGCCACGGTTTGAGCAGAGGTCTGGCCTGGCCCAAAGCTGTGATTAGGTGCTTGACCCTGCATAAAACCTGCGGTGGGTGACCCTTGGGAAAAATTAGGGTTTATTCTCGGCACCAGGGCCAAATTGGTATTTAATGGGTTTTCCAAGATTTGTCCAGCAGGTGTCATGAGCGGTTGTGGAATACCTGACGAATGGTTCATCTGTGCTGCTGGCAAGGACTGGGATGGAGACGCCAGCGCGCGGGCCTCGGAGCTCTCCGAGCTCTCCCCAGCCAGCAAGCTCGAGAGGACTGGCGTGGACCCCGAAATATTGCAGGAACTTGCAGGAACTCCCTGCCCCTGCAGCGGAGCAGATCCTGGAGCATCCGAGCTAGGCACAGCTGTTTCCTGACTAGGAATAACCGTAGCTTTGTCAGGGAATTCTGGGTTTGCTGGCTGCACAGGAGCCTTTTCTCCATCCTTCACCTCCGGCTCCGCAGTCTGTGGAGCACTTGCAGCTTCGTTATTTCCGTCACTTTTTTCAGCTTCGTTCTGCTTCTCCTCATGGGTGTTTGGAGAAAGCACTTCTGTTTTAATCTCACTTTCTGTAGCTGATTTCTTCTGTGGGGATGGAGTCTCAGAAGGGGCACCAATTTTGTCACCTTGCTCCTTCTGTTTTGGTTCTTCTGCCTTGCTCTGGAGATCCAGCTTGTCATCAATTGGGACACCAAGATCCAGCTCTTCATTAAACATTCCCTTCTTATCCCCCAGATCGAGTTCTGGGTCTGTATATGCAATTATATCAAATTCTCCAGATCTTAGAAGGTCGTCAAGGTGAGGATCATTCGTTTCCAAATTGTCTAAGGTATCTAACTCATCTCCTTTTCCATCCTCTGGATCTAGGTTCAGATTTTCCAGATCCTCGTCATCTAAATCCTTGACTTCAACCCCGTCGAGGTCTTTCACATCTAAATCTTTCACGGCGGGATCGTCAGGATCGAGCTTTTCTTCCAGCCCATCAGTTGGCTGGCTGGGAAGCTGTAAACTGGCCGATTCCTCACTCGGGGCAGACGTGGGCAGAGACGGTGCTGGGAAAGCGTCCGCGACCGGCGGGTGGCTCAGGGAGCGGATTACAAGCGCGGGCGGGTTGTCAGGATTGATCTGATCTTGCTGGGCCTGGGGCAAATGCTCCAAACCAGCCGCCACCTGCATCTGGCCAGAAGCACCTTGAGCACCGTGTCGCAGGGGGTCTGCCTGCCGCGGGCCCGGGAACTCCGGCCTCGGGATGAATCCCGCGTGCCGCTGGTGTGGCGCCGCATCCAGCGCGTTGGCCGCCGCGCTGAAGGGCAGCCTGGGGCGGCCGTCGGGAGCCCGGTGCCGCAGCTCGATGAACGCCTGGCCCAGGATGTTGTGCTGCTGAACCTGAATTCCCTGGGGAGGAAAGTGCTGGGGGATGCCGGCGGCGCTGCCGAGCTGCGCGGCGCTGGCTGCTCTGGGCATGTCGACAGACAGAGACCTTCTCAGCTGGGCCGCGACTCCAGGCCGCTGCATCGGCTGCTGAGGCCCCAGGAAGCGCTCCTGCCCCGAGGGGGGGCCGTGGCCACCGCCCGGAAACCCAAACCTAAAACAAAGGATTAAAGACTAAATTACCTTTTTTTTTTTTTTTTTTTTTAGGACCATCTAATCTGGTATCATTACTACACGAATATTCACCAAAATGCTTTACATGACATATTCCTTGAAGTCTTTTAAATAACAATGCTTACATTTAAAGAGGTTCTATGACTAAGATAATTGCTTCATGTTCAACAATTTGTTTCCAAGAAAATGGACAGAAAATTCTGAAAATGGACAGAAAATTCTGTGACAGTTAGGACTATCTTAATAAATAAACCATAGATTCATCTGAATAAGTGTAAAATACTGTTGTGCGTATTTACAAATTACTGAAAACCTAAATTTTTGAAAGGAATAATTCTCAAGACTACAAGATATAACAGTAACTCATTTTACAAAGCTTTGTTCAAAAAATGGCACAGACAGAAGTCACACGTTCATCACATAATCCTTATAAATGAAAAGAAAAATATTCCACTTACTCTGTATGAAGGCATCAAGGCCAGTCAGACTTTTCTGTTTTGTTTTTTAAATAAATGTTGAAAAATAACAGGTGACAAGACCTATTCCCTAAGTGTTGCGGTTTCTCTATTTTCATTTTTGAGTAATTCCCAGTGAAAGGCAGAGCACACAGTGCAGAACACACACTCTGTGTTACAGAAGCTTACAGGAATGCTTAGCTCACTGCACACAGTGACTTCAGTAACATTCCCAGCTACTGTAAACCACACAGGTGATTTTGCATCCAAAATCTGGTTATGTAGCAAATTCAGTAAGTTTAGAGCTACCACTGCAATACCTCGTTTTTAAGGGATCAAGGAGCTTACCTAAGCCCATGAGGTCTCATTCCCATGGCATTCATATCGCCTGCAAACTGGGGTCTATTGAACTGCCCTTCAACAGGGAATGGGCCACGTTGATCTTTTGGAAACACCGTGAACCTCGGTCCACCCGGAGGGACAACTGAGGCCCTAATATTCCCCGGATACGGAGGAGGAGGGCGGTTAAAAATCTGGTTTAAATTGTCTTGCTGCCAGTGCTGGAGAGGAGTTCCATGGGAAGCAGCTGCTGAATCCTGCAAGGCCTTTTCCTGCCGAACTGCATTCTTCTTCTGCTGCTGCTGTTGTAGAATAATTTCACGCAATTTCTGGCGCTGTTAAAAAATATATATATAAAATTACGGTGCTTGATATATTGCCAGCGTCGCTTTCCACTGGTAGAGCCTTCTGGAGGAAAGAAATCCCTCTCCATGTGGTATAAACCACCACAATCACCTTAGAAGTGAAAAGAGGGCTCAGAGGGTGCAAGGTTCTGATAACAAAAATTTTTACCTCCAGACCACTTGTTACAGGTGTACAAAATGGGTCCACCCTAGTAATTTACAAAAAACATTCTGTCAACTTTTCTATTGCAATAGTAAGAGTCATTTCACTGTATGAAACATGGATTCTGAGGGAGGAAGATGTCTGGAGGGACTCAGGAGAAAACTCAGCACAAGGTTTAAACTGCAGTTGCAGAATGTGCTCTGACTCTGCACAACAAATACTACGCATGTTTGTGCTCAAGTCACTTCCCATGGCTCTTGAGAGGCAAAGACTGAGCAGCTTTCCCATGCACAATGTAATTCCAAGCCTCAGCAAGAGCTTTTTGCCAATAATCATTGACAGAAACCTGGAGTGAACGAGGCTCCAGAACATCAACGACTAATGGCAGGATTCGCTTCAACATAATAGTCACCTAAAAAGCCCAGAGCTTCATCTAAAATCACTGCCTATTTTCTCTGTTTCAGTTGGTGGACAGGTCACTGACAACCAGCTCCACATTTTACTTAGGAGAGAAGTAATAACCCTTTCAAGCTGTTTCTCTCCTGCAAACAGAAGGGCTAAACTAGATCAGGCACCTACATTTTCAATGGCTTCAGCAATGGCTCTCACTTCACTTTGTTAATGTTTTTGTAAACATTACTGACTTTTTATATTCTATACACTCTGGTTCTATCCTGGAGGAACTAATGAACATAATGACTGAACAAAGATTCTCAGCTGTGTTTAATGCCAAGTAATTCTGAATATATAAAAAACCCTCCAGGAAATTCTTTCGTGTTTGCAATTTTCAGCCATCAGCTTCAACAGCCTGCTCACCTGTCTTAATTTCTCAGTGTCTGCTTGAGACATATTCATGGTATTCTGGGTATCTGTGACTCCAGTGGTGGGTGCTGAGCCAGGAACCTGGGAAACTTTGGGAAACTGCTGCGCTTGCGAACTCATGGGAGAGCTGGCAGATGCACTGAAGCCGCCCTCGGAGCCCGGCCGGGGCTGCTCCGCGGGGTCATGGGCCAGCTGAGCAGCTCCAAAGGATTCTGGCTGAGGTCTCGGAGTCAGTGGTGGCTGCTCGTAAGGGTCACGCGCCGGAGCAGCTGGGCCGTGGCTGAACGAATCCGTTATTGCAGGTCCTGCCGGTCTGGGAGCTTGAGAACACGGGTCTGCCGGCCTGACAAAAGTGCCCTGCAGCCTGTTCTGTGGGCTCTGCAGGAAAGGGTCTCTGCTTGGCATCAGCCCTGGTCTCGGCATTGCGGGTCTGTTGAAACTTTCTGGAGCTCCCGGTCTCGGAGTCGCTGGTTGGTGGGAATAGGGGTCACTGGGAACTGGCCGGGGAGTCCCAGGAGGCTGGGCGTATGGATCAGAGTGTCGCTGATTTGCCGAGGGCTGGGCAAATAAATCTGCTGCCTGAGCAGGCCTTGGTGTCGGCGGCTGCTGCATATAGGGATCAACGGCGGCAGGTCGAGGAGTTCCCGGGGGCTGCGCGTAGGGATCGGCCACGGGCCGGGGAGTCCCCGGAGGCTGGGAATAGGGGTCCTGAGAAGCCGGCCTTGGAAGAGGCCCGGATTGCGGGAAAGAATCGCTCTGGGGTCGCATTATCCTAGGTGGATGGGTAAAAGGCTCTTTTATTGCAGGGTGGGGAGTGAGGGGAGGCTGGTTATACGGATCACTAGGCTGATTATGGGAAAAGCTATCGACCGGCCGCGGGGTCAAAGGAGGCCGCTCGTAGGGATCGACGGCAACGCGCCTCGGTGTGGCCGGCATCGATCCGTAAGGATCCTGCGGGGACTGAGGTGGGCGCAGAGGGGTTTTGAAGGGCCCAGGGCTACCATCAACGGGGGTGGGAGTCAATGGGGGCCGGGCATAAGCATCAGAAGCCACCCTCTGCCTCGGGAACCCCTCCGTCCTGGGAGCCGGCTTGGTGAAAGGATCACTGCTCCCGACCGCCAGAGGCCCCTTCCCTGCCTGCTCCAGAACTGCGGGAGACCTCGGCACTACCAGGGGTTTGGAGAACTGATCCGCTGCCACGACCGGCCGGGGGGTGTCTGGGGGCTTTGCATAGGGATCGCTGCTTCCCGGAGATGATGAGCAGGAATCTCTGACGGGGGAGGGCCGGCTTCCCGACGGCTCCGGCCCTTGCATGGGCCTGGCTACGGATGCCTGCGCTGCACAGGCGTCCAACTGAGCGACGGGATTTCTTCTAACGAAGTTTTGGTTAATAGGTGCTGGTCTAGGTGTTCCCACCATCTTAGCGTATGGATCCATTGGAGAAGGAGGCCTTGGGTTTGTGGAAGCGGGAGAAAATAGCTGCTGGGGTGATGTCTGAGGCGCCTGGGAGAGTGAATCATGCGCTGGGATGCGGCTTGGAGTGGGAGGTGGGGCTTGTGGCTTTAGGAACACGTCATCTGAGGGTGTTGCAGGTAGCTGCTGCTTTGGGAAGAGCTCCTTGTGGAATGTCTGCTGTGCGGGAGACCCGCTGCCACTGCCTGCCTGAGGTGTCAAGGGGCTCTGCATCCCGCTGCTCGGCGTGTCCGGGCCAGACTGCCCCAGCAGCTGCTGGGACCCAAACTGCTGCTGCTGCTGCTGTTGCTGCTGCTGCTGCTGCTGCTCGTTTTTCACCTGCTCCAGTTTCTGCGTGGCCTCTATCTTGGCTTGCTGCTTACTCTTCTGTCGCATTTGCTGTTGTAAAATGACGAGGGAAAAAGTTACACATTTAAGTCCAGGGTGCACAGTCTTTCTGATGACTGAAAATGAATTAATAATCAAAACTTTGGGACACGTTAATGACCTACTAAGAAAAATTTCAGATCCTAAATGTAACGGGAGCAGAGGGCATGACTATTTGTAAAGTTAAATTAACCTGACATACTCACTTGGCCTAGGAAGGAGCATTTCCCAGGTTGCTTAAAGAGCAGCAGTGCTTTCCAACCTTATGCACTGAAGAAAAAATACTGACAGATGCAGCAGGGCTGAAATGGGCTCCAAGGGAGCCACATATATATGTTCCAGCCTAATTAAAAGCAATGGAGTTTGCAGGACAAGGTTACTGCAATATATGGTATATACATTATTGCAATAGTTGGTCATAAAGAGAAAGAACAATGCATTTGTGTAACAGGTTCATAACCAGGATTTCTAAAGCAAGTTTTCTAACATTCACAAATGGCTTTTCTTTCCAAAAGTGTCCATATTTGTCCTATGTAAAACCTTGGAATAACCTTGGAACCCTTCTATAAAGAAAGAGTAAAAATGATTTCATTATGACAGAAAAAAAACTCAATACAGTAAAAAGCAGCAATAAAAAAAAATACTCTAAAAGCAACACACCTGTCTGAATTTCCACTCCTGCTCATGTTCTGATTCCCTCTGTTTTAATGGATCTTTAAAGAGGTCGGAGTCAATACGAGAGCCTGGATCAATGCTATCCTGTTGCTGTTGCCTTTTCATGGAGTCATTTGACATCTGCACTTTATTGATGCGCAAAGCAGCTCTGTTATCTCTTGCTTTTTGCTGGGGGAAAGAGAAAAACACGTAGTTTGCCTTGTAAAGTGAGAGCTACCTAGATGAAAATCGACACATTTAAGCAGGCAGCATCTTGTAAATACTACATGGAAGGAATCAACCAACTGAATGTGGTGGTAAATGATATGGGCTTGAATAATAAGCAGAATAATGATGTTGCCTCAATAATAGAAAGAAAACAACTGGAATGGTTTTCAAGTGTCAAGGGGAGCGATCAGGAACTCTGCGGTTTGAGTCTCCTTTTCCTATAATGAATTTGAGGTGCTTATCTATCCTCCTGATTTTTTCACAGAAGTAACGAGCCTTTCATTTAAGCAGTAGTTGCTGGTATTGGTAAGCTCTCACTTATCAACATACACCACAGTCAAATTTCTTAGCTAATGATATTTCAGTGTGGACAATGTGGATCTTTAACAGGAAGAGCTTCAATAGAGCACAAAGGCTGCGAATTGGATCAGAGAGGTTTTGGAATTAATGGTGCAGTTTGAGACAGCTAAGACAAGCGTTCTTCTCTGCCTTAGGTGTGCAGGAGGAGAATGTTTTAAAGGAAAAACTGGGAGTCCCTTATGCTCCTCACAACATGGAAAATAGATAAAAGCATTTGGAGCTTGGAGTTCAATTACAAAGGCACTCTTGCAGACAGCAAACTTTCAGAAAATCTAGAACTTAATGTACTAAAAAAATATTCTACAGATGAAATGCATGTTGTCAAAAGCACAAGAATGCAGGTGGCAGTTGTTCTTACCACATATGGAGCCCTTTCCTGCGAGCTTGCTTTCCTCCACAGCTTAGCAATCTGCTTCACTCTTGTAGCCCAGTCTGTAACCAAAAAAGTGTTGATGTATAAAACAGACTTGTCAGAGTCTTGCATTAACTCTTTCAAATAAAGATCCGCAACCTGCTGCAGAGCACTTAAATCCATCCCATCCCTCACTCACTCACCAGGGAATTCTTCCTTTAGGTTAGGGAAGTTGATATTTGTGTAGAGAACAGGTGCTACCGTTGCCATTTCACCCAGTGCTTCTTCTTTTTCCCACTTCAGGGTGCTCCTTTGAGCATTGGACATTGTGTCGCCTTCAGCTTCCAAAGGTGGAGCTGATGGTGCCCAAGAACTGTTTGGATCACCCACCATGGGATTGAATGCTGGATTCTTATCCCTGAGAAATCAGAGAAGAGCTCAGTTTTACAGACTGATTTCTTTCACTACACAGAAAGAATTATCCAAGTAATTATTTTTGCTTGCTATTTCTGTAGTCAAGAGGCTGTATTGTACACAGAAACAATAGTTTTTGTACTGGTCGTTAAGAACTAAATATTTATAACACTAAAAACACTACAATATCAATAACAACAACAATCCCCAGTTAATAAATGCTAAACAATGATTTACCTGGTATCAGTATACGGTTGCTGTGTGATAGGAGAGAAAGTGCCCAGCCCTCCTCCAGGAGTCAAAGCCGTGTGAGGGAGATGGGGGTTAGGACCAATCAGACCATTCATTAGTGGGACTCTTGAAAAGGCATTATCTCCTAGGAAGAAAAAGATTAAGTTATTGTTTTAAAGGGTAGTGCTTTTGAGCGAGAGAAATGTGAAGTCAGTGAAGAGATGTCTCATCTAATGATAAAATAGCTACTTTAAAAATTGATAATACTAACCTTAAATTTTTGGATAATATTTGAAACCAATTTACTTAGGTTCCCTACAGATTTAGGAGATTGTTTTCTACAGTACCACATCCAAGTAAAGATTTTTTTTCTTGTCTAGCAAGTAAGTTTTTATTTTAATGGTTTCTCAGCATTTTCCAACTAACCCACGTTATGGGGCCACATTTTATATTCAGGTGTCTCTTGGTCTGTAACATTTGTTATAACCAGATCCACTGCTAGCCAAAGAACATAAAAATCCAAGCTGTCAAGCAACAAGCACGGAGATGGTTGTCCTCAGTCCATGCAGAATTATTATTAACCACCTGAATTCAAAATTTCCTCTTCTGAGACTGCAATGCACAAAAGTAAGCCTCGTTATCTGCTAACTCCATAATCTGCAACCAATGAAACAGATAAATCCAGTAAAATGAGCATCAGCATCGTAATTAAATGTCGAGCCGAGCAATATTAGGGCCAAAAATTTTATCTGATTAAAATATTAGGCAAATGTGACAAAGGCAGATCTACGCCAGCAGATGGTCTTTGCAGATGTTCCTACACAGAATCAACACTGACCTTTGAATCTCTGTCACTTAAGGAAGATTATAATTGAGTTCCCAATATTTTCCTAAAAACATAGTAGCAGTTCAGAAATTTGACAGACTTGCAGGAAAACACTGTAATTCACTCATGTTTTAGGTGACTATTTCCTGACCTAGAGGCTACGATCTAGGTAGATGATTTCAGAAGCATCTAAGGAGAATATGCCTTATTGTAACAGGTAAATAGATGACACATGGTAACTGTGAAAACCTGGCAAGAGATAGGCTGCAGAGCCAAACCTCTGATCTGTGCAGTAGAATCCCATGTTTCTCTGAGAACAGAAAGCCTTCATTTCATTGTAATTACTGAAACTTGATACAGGCTTTTTTGCAGCCTGATACAAGCCATTATTGAGGCGTTTATCTCCTGAAAACATGTGGATCATTACTCCATAACTGAACTAAATCATCAGCCTAAAGCCTAGCAATCGTGACCGTTCCCACAGGGAGAAACTTCAACAATCCTACAGAGCTCAGAGGCTGAAGTTATCTGCACACAGGCAAAAGAATGGCAAACAGGCAGTGATATCTCTATTATCTTTTGTTTTAAACCACCTAATTATTTGCTTTAAACTCTTCTCATGTCTAGGGCTTTTTGAAGTCCGCTATAATGGAAATACATAAAATTAGGAAAAAAATATTTTTTTTATATATATATATTTATATACATATATATACACACACATATATATGTACGTTGTGTGTTTATCATTTTTTTTTAATTGATGACATTCAATTTACATACTAGGTTCTGTCCTCCTCGTAACAGGATGGGCATTTCTTTACCTGAGCTCAGGCAAAACTCACCATAAGTAATGTCTGGTGAGAAAAGCATGCAGTTAATTATGCTACACCTATACACTCCTATACACACTCCTCTACTGGTAACAATAAATAAATTCAGTCTACTCAATGCTTCCAATATAAAGGTAACAATGTGCTAGTAGTGAGAAATAGAATAAGGGTCAATTTTCCAGATGTATTTCAAAATTATTTAGTCTATCCTCTCTGCTACTTGAACAGGATTAATCAACATTACCTTTAATTCTTAAAGGAAATTTAGACTCAGCAACTCATTGTTGGGCTGAGTCTTTCCAGGAGGTGTTCAGAGGTAACGTTAAAAGTAATGGCAATAGAAGGCACATACTTCATCACAGACAACTTTCCAGAATGAGAAATATCAGCTCAAATCATAGCTCCAGTATGTCATAAAACTGCAAACTATCCCTTTCTACTGTCAATATTTACATGCACAGTCCATGCTACTCCACGAGAGCAGGGGCAGAAAGTCAAGTTCACCCCACTTTCATAGCTCCATTAAAAGACGAGCAACTTCCTTGACGAGGCTGCTGCTTCTTATTAAAGACAGAAACGTACCCTGAGCGTGCAAGGGCATGAGCTGGGGAGGAGGTGGAGGCTGTGGCAAAGGAGCTGGCTGGGTGGTTGCTGGGCTCAGTACAGCTGTGAACAGATCTTCAACATCCTTGCCTCCTAGCTCTGCAAAAACACCAGGCGTGAGGGCGCTGGCCTCAATGGGAAGCCACGTTTTGTAACAGACACAGAGATCCGAGCACATACCTGGAATTTTGTACAATTTGCCAAGAATAGCACCTGGGTAAAGTAAAAATAACACAGAATGAGCAATTAGGAAAAAAAAAAGCCACAACATTAATTCTGTAACTTGATGTAAATAGGTATGTTACAATACAGAGAGTAGTTTTGAGGAAAACGCAGTGTCTACTTAAGTTTTCTAGAAAAGCAAAGTGAAGGACAAACAAATTACCATCTGTGACCATTTTGTCTAGTTCTGGGCTGAGGATTCCATCTAATTGCTCTTCACTCAATGGTCGTGAACTCTGGGGGACATTTGGCTGAGGCAGAGAAGAAGGATCATCAGAGATGGGACCAATATCTAGTCCAGCTGAAGGAGGAAAGAATATGCAGTGAGATATAAATAATAAAGCCTACTGACCCAGAACAAAGAGCAGAACACAAAATTTCATTATTTTGTTTTTGCTAGAGCTCAACTGTCAACTAAACTAAGACTTCCTAAAATTTTTAAAAAACAACACATTCACTAGAAAAAGTAAACGGAGGAAATAAAATACCTCCCTGTTTGTTCTACTGTTTAATGAATGCTTAATTAATGAAATAAAACTGGAAGAAGGGGAAGAATTTGTTGTAGATGACTGAACTCAGAGCTGTTTTCAAGGGTGCAGTTTTCAGTATATACTTCCACTACACCTTTTTTTCCCCACATTTCAAAACCCATCCCGCCAGCAGCCAGTTCGGTTCATCCTGGTGTGCTTGAGTTTTACGCAGATGCCCTTTAATTGAACATCTACTAATTGTCAACGTGTTCTCAATATCTACTAGTAATAGCAGTTTCCATCACGAAAACGACTGCTGAATTCTACATTACATCAAAGTGATTTGTGGATGCTGAGGAAATATAATCAAATTTTATAACATCCTTTACAAGTCCATAAACCTCTCAAAAGTGAAATAGCTTTGAAAAAGCTCTACAGACTTTATTTTTTAAAAAGATATTTCAATATTAAATACCAAAGAAACCCAACTTTAAAATAATGAAACATGCCATTCTACTCATCAACCTGTGCTTAACATAAAGAAGTGATGAATCATCATCCAGTGGTAACAAAAAGATCGATGTCGACCGCTTTATCCATGCTTTAATATTCACACTGTTAAAATTAACGTACAAAGGATACCACTACTATAAATGCTACACACTACTACTATAGCTAATACTAACAATAAGGGTGACAGCAAGAAAATGCATGGTTCTCCATCATGAAACACACAAAAAACTCAGAAAGATTTTTAAAAACTGTATGCAACACTTTATGGAGACTTTATTCTCTTTAAGGTGCAGAGTGCAAGACTTTGTAAGTTGTGTTAGACTCAAAAGAGTACAGGAAGAGTGGGAAATGAGAGCACAAATTAGTGACACAGTAAAGGAACTAGTTTCTATGCATGCAGTTCTTTCAGCTAGGAGCACGAGGAAAGATCACTACTTCTAACCATGGATCATCCATCGTTTAGTTTCTTACCAAATGGGGAGGGTGAGTTCTCAACCTGGAAAGTGCATAAATCAAGACCTACAGGACCCAAACCAGATAAAATGGATGATTATAACACGAAAACAAACAAATAAAAAAGTAAAGAAAAAGCTGCATGCTGAAAAGGCTACGCAGGTATGATAGACAACAGAAGCTGTTTTTATTCTCTTAAGCAGCAAAGCAAAGAGCTAAGTAAAATAAAATGTTGGAAAGGTTTTGTTTGTTTTTGCAGTAGAAGACAAAGTCCCTCTCACACTTAGGTACTCTTAAGGTATGAAAATTATTTCTGATATCACCTAGGGCATAACCTGTAGATTTAACTCAGTATCTCCCTCTGTAATAAAGAGAAAAAAAAGAAAACAAATGACAGAGAGACCTTACAAACATACATACCCGAATGATCTCCAGACTTTACCAAATCATCCGAAAGAATTCCAAGAATATCATCATCGGTGTTCAAGACCTCGGAAAGATCAGCTAGGGGGTCATCGGTGCTACCTGCTGGAAAGGAAACAAATGACAATCAAACAATCATGACATTTACACGTTAACAGAGCACTCTGGAGACCTACCATAGGTTGAGCTGTACATTGAAATATACCTCTGCCAAGCAGCAGGTCCTTGTGGACATGCTGCAAGGGACGTGGAGAGGAGCGACTGCGCCACGGTCACCAGGGAGCACTGCAGCTACGGGCACATTCTTAACCTGCTGGGCAATGTCTCAAGCTCAGGAAATGTGACTTAGCTGGAGGGAGAGAGGGAGGGCTGGCTGCAAGGACAAACTCCACCTGCTCCAACTCCGAAGCGCTAAAAACCAAGGGCAGTGAATACAGAAGTCAACACGGGTGTTTTGTAAAAGAATTTACCAGTCATGGTAAATAGCAGGAAATACTTAAAAATAAGACACCTGTCCTGGAACTACTTCCCTTACCAGCACTGTCTTTCTTAAACACATGAAGCAATCAGGTAAGTATACTCTGATATAGATATATAGGTAAATATACCTAAATATAGATAAATATATAAAAGGTATAATTAAAAATATATCCTGATATGCAAGTAAAAATGTAACAGTAAGAAGGAGCACGGAAGCAACTGGAGTTGCTTTTAATGCTGTTTTTAAGATCAGAAGAAAATCCTGAAGAAATGAGAATGCCCAGAGGTAGGAATGTGATGTGTGGCTGTAATCTAGGAAAAATCAGCCCAGTCCTGGCGAGAACTCATTGAATATTGAATAATAAATCTGGATGTGATTATCTGCTTGACCTCCTATCCATTAGCAAGAAGTTTTGGGGTTGTTAAAAGTCATATTCATGAGTCACCTAGTTTTAGAAGATTTTTTCTTTGACAAATAAATAGAAGTTTAGAAAAGTCTTTTCAGAAAAACTGCAGTCTATGATGACTACATGAAAACTTCAGTGAAAAACAATTAAATATGAAGAGATGCAAATATGCAATCAAACAAAGGAATTAATAGAAGTAATACAGGACATGTGGTGGAAAGCCAGTGTGGACAGAGTAAAAAGTGACCAGAAAGCCAAAGGATGAGACGTTTCCTACACAAATGGCTCTTTCTCACTGTTACTGCCCAGGTTCCCCAGGAAAGCATTTCTAGCTTAATCCTGGCTAATTTAGAGCCCTGGAGCCAGTGATTTATTTGCATCATGGGGCTACCTCCAAGCTCCTACACTTTGCCATCATTTCAAACGTCTTTCTATTGTCTCTCAGAGCCCTTTTACCTTCTACCGAGTTAAAGTGAGAAGGATTTAGCAGATTTTCTTCACTTACTGCTTTTATCTTTCATTTTTTCCTTTGTAATATAGATATAAAATAACATACAGAATACATATATACTAAAAATGATACCATTCTAATTAATTAATGCTTTATCTAGGTGGGTCAGTGTGTCCCTGCAGACTAGTCCATTTGCATGTACAGCAAGAAGAGGACAAATATGAATATTAGAAGTAGAACTTTAAAATCCTAAAAAGCATATAATAGATAAGTAGATAAATAAAGAGCTAGTTGGTGGGAAGAAAACACACGATGGGAGCACGAAGACTAAATTAGCAGCCTTTAATTCTTCTGTAATTTTGTCATCTATCACAGTGTTTTCCTCCTCAGACATCAGGAATGTGCTTAAGTCCAGTCCCAAATAATTCAATTTCTAATTTCTAATTCAAATTTCTAATTTGAATGTAAATATATGGTGTAAGGAGCTAGGAAATGGCTTAGGTGAAAAGATATTGCTGCACAGTTTACCACCTGTGGTTATTATCTGGTCATGAATAAATTCAGGCTGCAAATTAAGAGGCTCCAAACTACTAGAGCAATCAGATTCAGTGAGGACCTTCTGATGAGATTAGCAGGTTGGGAAAGAGCTGATGGCTTTTAGGATGGAGCTTGTTCGTTCTGTAAAGACTGAGTTTTGGTGACAGCAGCAGGCTAAACTATGATATGCACGTCTCACAAAAGATTTTTACTCTAAAGTATATTTTTAATCTTCTTCTTCTTTTTTTTTGGCCAGTTCTAATTCAATATGTGCTAAGTATTTTCTTGGAATTAAGCAAATCACTTCAACCAGCTGCTTCAGATGAGAAGCAATAGTGGGCTGGCATGTGGTGCCAAACAAATAGCCTGGTGTTGCTCGGCTCTGGCAGCATAGAGCTCCAGACCAATACAAAGCTAAAAAGGCAATAACTTTAACATTTAACACCATTACCAACACCTTCAGCTTTACTAAGGAGCCACGGGGAGCTGGGGTGCTCCAGGGAGCACGGACTGCCACTCTCCTCTAGCCTTCTCTTCTAAATGACTTTAGGGTTTGCTCCTATGTAGGCTGTTCTGCAACACCGTGCCACTGATGTGTGGAAAAACAGATGAGTGTTGGAAGCGAAAACGGTCAGAGACCAGCACTGCTCCCCTCCGGCTCACCTTGATCCCAGTTACTAGTAATTGTCAGAGACAAATGACTCAAGAACTTGTCTTTGGGAATCACCAGTCTCAATGTGCCACCGAAATGCTGGGCCAAGTCACCAGGAGAGGCCCAAAGATGACACTTGTTTCTCCAGCTCTCCTACATATGTTTTGAAAAGTAAAGTAGATATAGTGAAGTCCCCTTAAGATACAGGGGAGCTCTTGCAAGATGAACAAGTCTATTATCTAGCTCTTAATCCTGGGATTAAATAACTGGATTTTCCATGGGAAGAGCCTCTTCCTTGTGGGGAAGGCCTTAAGCATGGATTCTCACAGGAGGCAGCATCCCCTTTACCAAGCAGCACTGCAGGAAAATAACACGGTCACTAACACCACTATAGCCTCCCTTCTGCTCCAGACATCAGCATCTCCAGAGCTCAAAAAATGGAAAGAAAAGTCTCAATAATGTGACCGCTTGATTAGCATTTGTCTAAAAATATAATGCTAAATTATATTGACCACTTGATTAGCATTTGTCTAAAAATATAAAGCACTCAGTGACACCAGAAGCAACCAAAACCTGTTTTCTGGCTCCTGTCTTTTGGACACTAAGTTTATGTATCTGCTGCTTTATAAATGCAAACACAGTAATGAAACAGAAGATGGGTTATTTAGAGGTTATGTTATCTGAAGAGGGATATCTATCAGCAAGAGGTGTACAACTGCACGCTTTCAAAACACAGGCCAAATTTACATTCACTTTCAAGCAGCGGGCAAATAGAAGATTACATTAAAACCACAGTTGTACATCTCAAACCCTCCTTATGCTGAGATAACACGGGAACGTCAATGACTCTTAATATTGCAACCTGGACTCTTCTGGCTTCAGAGAATACTGGGGAGGAAGAAAGCTCCACGAGTGCATCTCATTGCAGAGCTGGAAACGTGAAGCACAGGCTGTGAACACACCATTTGCAGCAGTTTCCCCTTACAGGGATGTTACTTCTCCTCTCTACTACTCACAATTTCATATATAGCAATAAATGTTTAGTTACAGTGTAGCCTTTTTCTCTTCATTTAGTGGATTTTCCCTGAGCTGCAACTAGAAATAACTGTGCTTCTCTCCTAAGACTCTCTGGACACTGGAAAGTTACACCAATGTCTGCACACATTTGCTAGAAGAAAAAAAAATGTGAGCATCAGCCAAAACATGGTTCACAAGTAACCATATACAATAAATAATAAAAGGAGTTTAAAAATATATGGAAGGTTAAGACACCTTGAACACACAGCTTATACTACAAGACACTGAGGAACAAAATAACTTGGAGGAGGGAGTCAGGCTTTGGCTTTTAATTGCTCCTTTGTGTGAAGCTGCCCTTTCAGCAGCACTTTACAGCCCTGTGGCTGTTTGCAAAGCTCTCAGCAGTATCTCCTGCAGACTTGAGCCTCAGAAATGGAAAGTAAGAGACTGCCTGGGGGCTACAAACTGTGCCTTGAAAGGGCACCCACCATTGGAAAGGACACAGTGAAGCAAAAGCTTAGAGGAGCCTGGCAGCCTCAAATAATGTCAAGCCTCACAGAACATACAACTTGGATGGTAACTGTTTATAAATGAATATTCAACAGACTACTGAAAGTACCTTTTAAATTAGTTTCTTTTTGTTTCCTTTTGTAATAGATTTATTGCTCTTATTTTTAGACCTCTTTGAACCTTTAGTCCATTTTCATCAGTTCTGTAGAGCTGGCAATTACAGTCAAGGAGTTTCCAATCTGCACTGAGTGCCAACTGCTGTGCCATCCAATCCTCCCGTAACAGCTAAAACAGGGAGCCAGGTATCCCTGATTATCAGTGTAATTTAGTCTCACAAGAGCAGGCAGTTATTAAACAGAAGGTTAGCAACTGGATGGATGAGACACTGTGAGAGGAAAGAGTGGAAACGCCCCACGTACAACAACGCACTACTGAATTATCACTAAGTTGAGCTTTGCTGACCTTGAGTGCCCAGTTTCACTGGAGCTGGAGTGGAGGCTGAGCTAAGAAGAGGGTCGGAGGAAGGATCCAGGAAACTGGTGGTGAGATTTGCTTTACATGAAAGTGGAAGTGACTCCTCGGGTAAGTTATCTAGGCTCATCTTATTTTGTCTGCTGGTGTCTAGTAGGTCTTTTCCGAAGAAAGCTTCCTGTAATGAAAACAGAACAATCCAATGCAGAAAAAGCAGCAGCTGTTGAAAATGTTTTATTGCAAAAATTGTACCTATATTACATATGTTCTGTAACTTTGCCATAGTTTGAAGTATTTCTTCCCCCATGAAAATGAGAGTTAAATAAGAGGAATGCTTCTGAACAGCTTACTAAGGTCACATAAGAAGTTTATAGAAAACAGGCAAGTACTGAAGTCTGAGTTTTAGCACTACCACACACTACCTTTTAGTTAGTGCAAACTCATGAAGAACAAAACACCCAAAGCTGCTTAATGTGCATTAATATCCTTTAAATTGCATTTAAATTAAATACTACACAACAAGCATTTCACCTAAAGCTGAGTACTAAGTAATTTTAAAACAGTCCAGCAAATTTTCAAGACTTCTTTTTCATTATACATTTTTCTTCTGTTTCATTCAGTCTCTAAAAATCTTTTTAGTGTGTAATAGCTAAAAATAGAGTCAGAAATACATTTTATAATTACCTGTTCCTACAGTAATGAAGACTAAATCAAATAACTATTCTGTATTTTACATGAGTAAAATGTGCATGAAGGAAAAATATGTATTCTTAATAATACAAAGGAAATCCTAAGTGTGGTCTTTTTTTTTGTAAATCATCTCCTTATTTATCAAATATAAGTTATTTTTAGACAGAGACAGGCTGTCTATCAGTTCTTTGCTAATTTTTGATGCCAGTATAGTCTTTCTTGTGAAATTTAGCAAACAGATACAAAATTAAGTTATTTTTGAAAATATGTGTCTGAAAAGAGTGAAAGAAATAGTATTCTCAGTGACAGAGATAAAAACTGGTTGCTTTATAATCCAGTTGAAGGCAGGTAAATTGGTGAATCCACATTAATATACTGATTCCCACATGAAATTGCTTTTCAATATATATGTACACATTTATATAAAGAGAGAAAATAACATGATCTGCCTAAGACTTCTTGAACTTTTTAGTGCAGAGCACAAGCAAATAAGCTGAGAGTGTCATGGGTCACTCTGGGGAGAAAAAAATACTATTTTACAAAGCAAGTGGAGGCTTGTATAATGGGAAATGATATCAGAGGATTTGAGTTTCTTATATAAGTTCATGAACATTCCTCACACAAAACCCATTTAACAGGAATGATAAACTGGGAATTGGGGAAGAAACAACTACAGTTGAAATGTACTATGAATTAATGCATACAAAGATCCCTTTCTAATTGTTTTTACAGTTAGTGCAGACCAGTAGCTTTACCTGCAAGTAGGCGGGAAAGGTTTCCTCGAGTTTGTTTTTCTTTTTTCTGTAACGCTTCTTTATTTTCTCAGTGCTCTCGGAAGCGGGGGCAGACTCCTCAACCGGAGTGTCTGGCAGCTGTTCTGTCCAACCTGGAAGAGTTAAGGCAGGCACAACTATAGAAAATCCACTGCCTCTTGCTCTAGAGGTGCAGCAGGAGGAGCACGGCCACCTGGGTGCAGTTTTAGCATGATTCTAGATATACTGTAAGAATTGCTTTTGTCTAACCAGCTTTGAGCTGTCATCTGATCCCCTGGGCATGGAAGTTGAGAATACTCCATGTGATACTACCCTTGCTGCACTTCACTGACTGCAGGTATCTCACTGGTTGTAGATTGAGCCTTCTCCAAGCAACATAAGCTCTATTATTAAGTTATATTATAAACTATGCTGTTAGGTAGTGCTGTGCAGTGTGGTCACTTGCAGGAAGCTCTTGCCATGCGCTCAGTGACAGGAGCGGCAGGAAGGTGACCCGCAGCACGGTGGCCTCCGCCCTGCTCGAGCTGATTCAGAACACAGAGAGATCTTCTGAGCTGTTTTGCTTCTTAATAAACAGTTGTGCCTGGGCAGACAAGGCAGCTCAAATTGCTTAACTGAGGAATATTTGTTTGTGAATATTGCTTTTTAACAATACGCATTGTACTGCTAACCCAGAAGGAAGAATCCACTTTTTTTTAACAATTTTTTACCTTAAAGGAACAGATCCTCCCACAGGAAGCTAAAAGCTCATCAGCAAAACTTTCAGTGCTAGTTGAAACAATTCAGTCCATCATAAAATTGTATTTACAAAGTAGAAAAAATGTATTTGTAGCACTAAAATTAAACAGAAAGCAAACACAATTTCTGAATAGGGGAGCCAGCCACACAGTGGGTCGCAAGCTGCCTTCCTAAAGCAGTTTTACACACGGAGCAAGAGTAAAATCCAGCTCTCGGTTTTTGACCCTGCCCGGATGCTGTAGTAAGCATCAGGTCTCCCTCACCTGTACAACTAAACAGCAAGAGAGAATTCTGGCTCTGAAGAAGTTAAAATCCAAATAGACAAGAGAGAATAACGGGAAAATATAATGGCCAGACATCTGCAAACTGCTCTCAGCCACCTCTTAGAAGCAAACGGCTCTTTCTACCACCTACACCAGAAAGATTCTGCTCTCCACAAATCTTGCATCTCACCTTAGAGACCTCTGTGTTGTCTACATTAAATAGTGTGAATAAACCCAGATGGCGAAACGAATCAGACTAATCACACGCAGTAGTCAACAGAGGAAGACCCATGCACAAAGCTCCAACTCTTACTCAGTGCCCAATACACTGGTTATTTACAGTACCAGAGACATCAAGTGGCTTTTCCACAAAGGAATAACAGAACAGTGTTCTCCAGCCTTAGGAAAAAGATGACAGATGAGGGTATGGCACAAGCCGAGGAGAGTTCTGAGCATTATAAATGAACACTGAATGATTTCTCATCATCTTTCATAATAGAAGCTGTGGGGAAAACCCTAGGAATTCTAAGGGATCAAGATGAAAACCAACTAAGAGAATTATTTCTTCCCCAACAATAAGGAAAAGATAGAAGTCACTAAAAGAGGATGCACAGAGGTCAAGAAGACTCATAAAAAGATCAGACTCCTCTGTGGGGCACACAAATACCTACAAATTCTCTCACAGAACACAGCCCACAAGAAAACTCTGGATCAGTATTTTATCAGGCACAAGGTATATCAGAAAATTACTCCAATCTTGCCCCATTTCTTAAATTTTTTTCCATCTTCTACTGGTCAAAAATAGGTTCAACAGCAGGCCAATACAGCAGGCCTTAGCATCCCATTTCACTCCCACAATAACCTTATTGCTACAATAACCCACTACTGTGGGCTATTTCATTCCCACAATAACCTTAAATTCAGTGTTTCAATGTCATTGTAAATCATGACTTTACTGCAACTACACACACGTAGAATCATAGAATCACAGAATGCTCAAGGTTGGAAGGGACCTCAGAGGTCATCGAGGTCCCCCAACCCCCTGCACACGCAGGGTCACCTAGAGCATGTGGCACAGGGCTGCATCCAAGCGGGTTTTAAAGATCTCCAAAGAAGGAGACTCCACAACCTCTCTGGGCAGCCTGTTCCAGGGCTCTGTCACCCTCACTGTCAAAAAAGTGTTTTCTCAAGTTCCTGTGGAACTTTTGGTGCCTCAGCTTGTGGCCATTTCCTCTAGTCCTATCGCTGGCTACCACAGAAAAGAGGTCGGCCCCCATATGAATGATTGTTTCCAGTCACACTACTAAAGTTCTTAAAACGACTAAAAACTTTTTCCTTTGCAATACATCTCCAGATAGAATTATATGGTTTTGGTTTCCATTATTTTTACTGTATTAAGCATGAGCAAATACTTAAAAATACCTTTCTGAACTTACCTTCATCTCTGCCAGGCAACTGCTCAGAAACAGAGCCAGAAGAGTCTTTCCTGGAGAGAGACCTTTTTGCTTTCCCCTGCCCTGTACGACTTCTCTGACGTACCATAAATCCACCAATACCTAAAGGAAGCAAAATCAGCAACATTAAGACTATTTTTCATAGTAAGAATGGGAGCAAAAACTATTTTTAAGTCAGAGAGGAGAACTGCATCTGTATGGCTCTACGAATGAATCTGATCTGCTCCTGCTTTCATTCAGAGGCTTACTATCTTGGTAGGTGTAGGTATAATTAGCGAAAAGTATCCAAATTTTAGGACTATAATACATCCACAAGAAGTTTAAAACATCAAACTGGGCAAACTTCAGATGACTTTTTCCCCCTCATGGCAAATAGATTAAGTGCTAATATTAAAAGTCAATCTACCAAATGAAAACTACTGAAAATCCTTAAAGGATCATGAAAACTCTACAATTTGGTGTAAGGAGTGCACCACTTCAATTGATGGCACTGGAGAAGGAAGTATCACAAAGTAAAATAGATGATTGAATAACATTACATTGCCTGAAACTGCAGAGCCCTCCAGCACAGGCTGACTGCAGCGCCCCGAGGTCTCTGTGATTGCTGTGTATGTCTGTACATAGATTAGAATCGGGTCTGTTTAGTTTTGGGGGAAATAGCTGGCACAGATAACAGATGGCTGCTCAGCTCTTGATCCAAACCTGCTCCAGAGCAAACTAAGCCATCTCCCCTTGAGGCTCTGTGAGCAGAATTAAATGGCCTAGGGCTGTATTACTTGTGGAGAAGCAGGAAATCTCTTGTCAACTGCTGTGGGTTGGCACCGCCAGCTCCACATGATCTGGCATGGAGGGCACCACAAGCAGTGCAGGATGTTGCCTGTTGGGACAGGCAATTCCTCCTCGGCATGGGAAATACAGGCGAGGGAAAAGGGGGCAGAGACCCCAGTAGCTGCTGACAGAGAAGCAAGGGAAACGGGACCATGTTTCACCTCTTACCTCCTTGTCCCTACTTTACCCCTCTCCTTCTCCTTACCCATCTCATTTTCTCCGTTCCCCTCCCTTCCTATCTTCCCACGGAGACGATGTGGCCCCATTACAGTAGGAAGGATGGGAAGATGGACACGAACAGCCAAAATAGTATTTGTGATGGCAAAGACTAGAAGTCAACCTACCCACAGTACTGGGAAGCTGAGTAATGGGAAACAAAGCCAACAGGATGCAGACACTCTGAGGCCTAGCAAGGGGCTCTTCAGAGAGCCAGCTGTGGCTAAATACAACTTATTATCTTAAGTTCATTAGCCCTAATGAATCAGAGTTATTTCCTACAAAGTCACTTAGGTACCTCCAGCTTTTTCTGCCTGGAGATCGTTCAAGTGGTTCTGCATCCAGAGCCTACAGTTAATCCACAGTCAAGGTAATTAAGAGTTGACTACACTAATAAATTAAAACAAATGAACTAATCTAATCACTGAATTCATTAAAATTAACTGCTGGAAGTCACCTTTAATTATTTAAAAAATTATTCATATCAAGTATTTCAGAAAATAAGTAACCACAAAAAAATTTCTCTCAGGTTCTGACCTCCTATACAAATATCTACAGAATCATTTTTATGTAATGTGCTACTAGAGATTTATATATATATACACACACAAAAATGCACACTATATATTTACACACACAACTGACATCCAGAAATTAAATAAATATCATATATTTTCCTATCAAGAATCTATAGCAAGGTGTAGATTTGAATTGTAAACTAATAATTGACAGAACGTTACTTTCATACTATAATATTCTATTAATTATACAGAAAAAAAACACAAAAGCAAACAAACGCCCCACAACTGTAAGAATTAGGTGTCCTACCAGGTCTGTACGGTTTTCGCTTTCTTTTTTTAATCCCATCAGCTCCTTCTGCTGCTTTGGTATCATCATCCACAGCTTCCCGTTCTGGGCTGGAATCTGATTTTCCGTCACAATCCATAAGATCACCTTCTGGAGAAAAGAGGCAATCCTAAACTCCACTGGAACGAGGGAGCAAGGCACTTTTCCTAATTTCTTATTTGTGACTGATATTTATGAGAAACTGATGAAGAACGTTAGTTTTTTTCCAGAGGTGGTTAAGATACCTGCGACCTTCAGGCACATTTGAGAAACCTGCTCCATCGACACACACAGACCAAGTTACAGACACATTTCCCACACAATCATGATGTCCCTCAAAAACCAAGGATAAATGTTCAGTTTACATCAATCTGAAATGATCTTTTTTTTTTTAGTATTCCTTTCCGAATCCAATGCCACTGCATTATCTGAGTGTCTGAACAATTTCTAACAATACATCAAGGCACATGGCTACAATCTACCATGTAAGATACACTTTGTTTGCCCTAACTTCTGCTTAGTCGAGTTTGCTTGCACTAAGAACACAGACTGAACAAATACAGCTTGCACTTGGAAAGTAATACATGACTTTTAGTTTGGAGGGTTCTTGAGTTGTTGGTTCTTGTGACTGACTGAAAGCTGACTTATCTACACCAAAGAGTTTTAACTCTGCAGCAGAAAATTTGGCCCAAAAGACTCAGTGAACCCTGAAGATGAGGACTGTAAATCTGAGTTCATATCCTGTGGAAAAGCACGGTAGAAAACACACATGAAGGATGATGGGATTATAAGAGCCTTCGGCGCTGAAGACAGATTGAGTTAATTGTTTCTGATATCTCCCAAATGTCAACATAACAATAAACTTCCATCTTCATTTTATAGTAAGTTTTTGAAATTCATTCAATATACTCCAGTCCTCGAAAAGCTACTGGATTCTCTTTCATATTCAGACATATGATTCTAGACAGTCTAAAAACAGTTTTGCAAGAAAGAGCCAGAAACACAAAACACGCTCGAACTCTGCTTATGCTTCTGGGACAGACCGACAGAACTGGCCTCCTCCAAACCACTTCTACTGGGGCAGGACTATAACCCATCTCGCCTTCGAAGGCCAAGCTGGTGACCAGACTTCTTGTTGCCTGAGATGTGAGATTTCTCATGTTTGCCTGAAATTATTCTGGAAGCAGAGGTATAGCTGCATTTACCTGATGCTCATACAAAAATTTCTGACATTGAGAGAAGACTCTGCAGAGCTATGTCTAGAGCCCTCAAGAAACTCAATCACTGTACCATACATGTGGTACCTAGATAGAGTCACATAAAGGAACGTACCCTGACCTCCCAATTCACAAAAAATAATATGTGCAATATATGCACACCCAAGGAAAAAAAGAAAAAAAGGCAATGAAAGATGACCAGAACTGAAATTAAACAAAAACTGTACAAGCTCTGGCTCTCCCATTCACCCTTTACTATTGTATTCATGTATCTTGTGATCTTGTTGAGAAACCGTAAATACAAAAGCCACCGGGGAGAAGATGAAAATAGCTGAAGTGTGAATAGGAAACAGGTACACGTTTCCAAAAATGGAGATTAACCACAGAAAAAGAACAGCAAAGGAAGTGGTTAATTCTCTATCTCGATGTCTTAAAAAAAAAAAAAAATTGAAAGCTTTACTGCTTTCAACAGCCTGAATGATGGGACTAAATAAAGACGATAGAGTGAAATGCAGGAGTCAGTGTAATCGTCATCTACCAACCCTATGACTCTTGAGGGAACAAAAGAAAAACTACCTCATGATTTTAAAGGTTTTAAGCACATAAATGGAATCTATTGAAAAATATGTGTTTTTCTAGGCAAGAGCAGAAGGCAAATAAGCATGTGCTAATAAAACAACAGGAGTGACACTTGTATCAACAAGTTAGCATGGCAACTGTGCTGATGGTTAAACTCCCCAGTCATCTCAAGTACACTCTCTGTATCTAAAAAAAAGCTTCTTATGACATTTAATCTGATTAACAACAAGGCAATGTTGCATAAACAGAAAACACTTTAGACGGTGGGGAGGCGCGGAGCCTGTGCGAGGCACCTGCAGGACGAATGCAGCGGCTTTCACACCTGCTGCTGGCTAAGCCTGTCCTCGGGCCGTGGATTAGCAGCTACACTCCGTGTTCTCCAGTGCTCCAAGGGGGCAGCGCCACGGTGGCTCGTGATGAAGAGTGTGGGTTCAAGGCACCAAGAGCTGGTTGCTCCCGCTCGCCCTTTTCCCGCTCTCAGCAGCGCGGGCGCCTCCGCCTGGGGCTGCGCCGCCGCCGTGGGGAGCAGGCCGGGCGCGGGGAGCTTTGCTCCCTGTCTGTGTGTGGGGCACGAGGGGCTCGCCCAAGGGCTGCTACAACCATGGAGTAACCGTGGCCACCTCACCGTGACACGCAGGTGGGTGTCTGGATACGGGGCGGGGATTTCTCTTTTCGCCCCTTGCCAGCACAAGCGCCGCCCCCTCCGTCCCACAGAACTGACACCCCACCTGGGGCCGAGCCCCGTCGCGAGGGCTCTGTGCATCCTCTCCTCCCCCTGAGCTACAGCAGCAGCCCAGAAGCCGCTTCCATACTTAAATTCTGTCCTGAGTTCTGCTCTGGAGATGAGGCCAAATAAAGCTTTCTTTTTTCTCTGCTAGTGAAATAAAATGAAGTATCTTTATCCTCTCGGACTCACAGGTCAGCCAAGCTCTTTCAGCAACAACACAACACTCCCCCAGAGGGCTTAGTCCTTCCCTCGTCCTTTACAATATTATTAATTAATAACTTTTAAATATTGGGTCTATAGCAATTTAGAGGTTGCTTTACTGAGCCCAACAGGATCACTTTCAAACAGTGTCTTCATTAAACTTGAGAGTCTGAACGACACCTGTACTCAGCAAGGGCACGTCATTTGCCACAGCTAACACAAGAATTAGGCAACGAGGCCAAGGTTACGTCCCGTGCTGCCAAACTCAGGGGCAAGTTTCACATGGGATGGACGACACCAACAGAACAACAGTAAGAAAAGCTCTGAAAGGGACAACGACAAGTTGTGACTTTCATCCAAGTTATTAGCACAAATTGGTTAGTACAGAACGCGTGGGTATCAGTATAGTAAAAACTCCCAGGAACGGAGCAACATCTACTGCAACACTCCAGGGTATAAGAAAACACACCAAAAGTAGAGCACTACCTCTACTGTCATCCATCTCTCCATCTCTTGAGTGCTCTGACTGGGCATCTGGGGGTGTCTGAAGCACAGCCACACTGTTCTGGTTTATAATCTTCAATTTAAGCTTTGGTTTCGTCCGTTTTCTTCTAGGTACTGTAACAGTTAGGCTCTGTAACTGAGACATGCCGGATTCTGTCAAGCAGACTCCATCCTGTGTGTAAGTCTTCGGTGGGTCTATAAAAGTTAAATGAATCATAACAGCAATATAAATCTCTTCCGTTTACAAGTCTTAGATTTTTATGGATTAATAGCTGCATGTATGGAACTGATTTATGAGTGAGGAACTCAGTAAAAATAAGACAACATCAAATACTCTTACACGTTACAGTTAAAGCTTTACAATCAGAATCTGAAGGCAAATCCAGGAACAAGCTAATACACTGTGACCAAACAACTTACACCAAGAGCTCAGTAAGAGAATGATACGACTATGAGAGCTGATGTCCTGCAGGGTATCCCTGTACGCCTGACATTCACTCTGCAAGACTACTGCTTATCAGCTCAGGTCCTTATATGGCCCTCAACACTGTAGCTTCACGTTATTAACCAACATTAGCCTCCCACAACTCTGAGCGGGACGGGGAAGTTATTCACCCTACAGACAAAAAAGAAACAGGACAGGTCAAGGGAGCTGCTCAAGCCTGAAGGGAAACCTTGCTCAGAACCCAAACGTCCCAAGATCTGCAAGACTGTAGATGTCCCTCATGCACTTTTGTGACAACTGAGTCTACTCAACATCTCGTATCAACGTTCCTTGATTTGCCATGGGGCTGCTGGGCAGTCATCTCTTCTGGGGACCAGCAAGCACAGGTTGGGGAACTTTCAAGGAGTTACCAAATATCAAGAGGCTGCAGTGATGGCCACTGACGGAGGGCTGATCAATTCATGACTTGAGTAATGTACTTCTGAAAACACATCCACATCACACCATTTGTTCCCTTCAACTAAAAGTGGTTTTTAATGTAACTTCTCATATTCCCAAACACAGCTTACAACCAGAATTATGGAGCACAGTTGTTCACATCACATTTGTATGTGCTATTAAAAAAGAACATATATTTTTGAAAGGATTGCATACTCTCTTTCACATTGAGTATTTGAGGGGACAACCTTCTTTCAGAATACACTTGTGCACTATCAAAGGGAACAAAATCTTGTCATAATGGAAGCTATCCTGACATGGTAGAAACTTTTAGGTCCTAGCATTATAACAAATGGCTTTGGCGTAGGTTTGTCAAGATTATAAATTTCCTAGCAAAAACTAGACTAAAATATAGAGAAATTGGGTCCTCCTCCTACAGGTCAAGCCTGTAAACACTTCTACACTTGCTGTACTCAGCCCCACAGTGTTTTCTCTGTCAGTACTAAGGCAAGTAAGGAAGTCTTTGCAGGATCATAGCATAATTTAAGGCAATTATTATAGTGCAGGTATGGCAAGCAACAGAAAACAAAGAAAGAACAAGAAAAAAATGAAAAGCATGCTGTGAGAACAGAAAGACAGATACTGCTGTGGGTTACAGAATCACAGAAAAAGTAATTTTTCTCTCATGTAAAAAAAACCCTTAAAATATGCTAAATTATCAAAGATTAAGCATTTACATTTTTACCTAGTTCTTTTGATTTTGAAATAATCTGAGCTCCAACTGATGAATCACAACAGTCCAAAGAAGGCACTGAAAAATATAAGGAAAATCATTTCAACTTTTAAAAATGGTGACTTGCTTTAAACTGAAACTACCAACTGATTTTCTTTCAAATGGTTCTGTTAAACTCCCTAGTTGACACTGCCGTCTATATTCACTAGCACTTTTAAAATAAAGTGCTTTTCAGTGTCACAGAAGATGCGACTGTGAAACAAGCCTGGTATTAACTGAAGTTTTCGCATTTCCTGGAGCCAAGAACGGCCTTGGAGCCACAGAGAATTCAATGGGAGACCATGTCCTCCTGCTGGGTGGAGGGCAAACTAACACACTGGATCTCATGGATTGTGAAACAAGCTCGACCTTAGTCATGACATCAAGATTTTGCTGAGCTGAGCGTGAATAAGGCTCTGAGAACCAGACATCAACAACTATCTTTTCTTCTCCCTCAAGAAGTGGTCTGAATGCTCCAAGGGCTTCCCAGGCAAGATTCCAGCGGACTCCCTGCTTTCAGATGGTTCACATAGGAGAAACAACATGAGGCTGATGAGAGTATCTGGGAACAGATGATTCCAACTTGCTGAAGTTGGATGCAGTGATTCTCATCCAAGATAAGAGCACTGATACACGGAACAGCAGAAACTCCATTTGAGAAGTGCAGTTGGTGGCTTCCAGGATGCACTAGAACAAGGTGACTGAGCAAGCAGCAGTTTAAACGTCCCCCAGAGCTGGCTCCTACTGTTGGAGGTGGAAATGCTTCTCCCACCTGCCTTAATTACAGCTATCTATAAATACGCTTCATTAACCTGGGATCTGAGGAGCAGCTCTTTAATACAAGTAGTAGCTTTATAGAGATCACACAGAGTAAGAATGGGGAGAGTAAGAAGCTTTTATCTCAGAAATTATGAGAACTAAAACCCTCAAAAACTTATTTCTGCATGATAAGGTTTGCCATTCATGCAACTTTCCTAACACCTCTTTTTCTTCTTCCCCTAGAAATCCTTCCCAAGCTGAACTTAAGACTGAGATAAGTATCTGTATTACTGAAATATGACATACAGAGGGGGGACAACAAGGAAGAAAAGAAATTTGAAAATGAAATTTTGGAAGGGATGTTGAGTTGGAGGGAAAAAACACGTGGGACAGAAGTTGCAGGGTGGAATATATTTGAAGTCACTGAATTAAAACAACAACAAAACAGATTGCAAGGAATACTCAAAAGGGTAATGAGACTTCATCTGTTCTTTTAATTGGCTGTAATTTGCAAGATGCTTTAAATCAGAGTGAGCAATTATCAAACGGGTACCTAAAGTAAATGAAGTTTGGGAAGATAGCTGTCAATGGGAGCTTGATATCTTTATTGAACGTCAACCCACAGAGGACTCTCCTAGGCCAGGTGAGATGAGGAGCAAAATCTTCACTCGGTAGACTGGCGAGAGTTGAAATGCTCAAGCAAAGGAGCTGCCAGTCACACTGGTGAGGCTCTCAGAGCCCACTTCACAGAGGCTGCACAAATAAACAATATTCGAAGATGGTACTAAACAGAGTGTGGAAAAGGAGCCCATCAGCGCTCAGTGTAAGGATTAAACCAATGAAACGGGTAACGGAGAAATATGAGAATGAGAAATATGAATAAGAGGAGACTGGACAAGAAAAAAAAAAAAAAACAAACCCCACAGAGCAAAGAGGAGTCTCTGCTTACTGGGGCTCCAAAGCATCCATTGTTAGGATGCATTCCCAGTAATTCCCAAGCAAAGGAAATCAGAGAACTTCTTGTTCAAGGCACTGAGATGTGCTGAGACATGTACTCTGCTTAGACCATGCTAAGAACAACCCGAGCAACACTCATCAGAAACATCTAAACACCACGGGTCTGCGGTGTGCTATTCTGGATCCAGTTCAACCACATTCTGGTCACTGGTATTTCTGTATGTTCAAGAGGATAAAGCTCTTTATCTTTTATTTCTGTTTCCTGAAGAAGATGGCTCTGTAAGATTATGAGATACGCAGCTGCTGTTTTGAAGACAAGATAGGGAGGAGTTCTTACAAATTTAGGTATTTCTGTTTTCTTAAGCAGAGAAAAATGGAATTCCTCTCTCAACATCTGTGCTTTAGAAGCAATTTACTAACTACCAACAATAAACCTATTTCTTCACCTGAAATATACTGATAAATTTTAGGTTGAGGAGCTCTTGATTCTTCTACAAAGTTGTTTAAAAAATGATAATGATACTTGCAAACATACAGGTATCTTCTGTCATACATCAAGTGAAAAGAGAAAGAAGCATCCCAGTAAAAAAATCCACAATACAGTGTATTCTAAGAAACAGTACACTGTTAACTCATGGTGTTTCATTAAGTTTATCAAATGCTAACCATTTTCACGCTGAAACAAAAAATTACAAAGAATTTTCAAGTGAATTGTAAAAGAATTAGCAAAGGATTCATATATATTTTACATAAAGGTACATGCAATTATTTTTATAAACATGCACCGAGTGACGTATTCGGACATGCAGTTGCTAAAGTGAACACAGACGTTAAGGAGATTATTATATACACGGAGTCAAAGGAAAAAAAATAAAGCAACAAAGCTTGTCTCATTAAAACAGGGTGAAAAGAAACTGCAAAGAAAGCTTGGGACCTGGCCCAGGGGATGCAGGCCTCGTTCCTGCTCCTTGGGAGACTAACCTAAGGCAGAGCCCCTTGCAAAGGTGCAAGCAGGACCAGCTCCGGGGGCACCTGATGCCTGGACGTGGCGCAGCCCTGATGCCGACTCCTAAGGTTACACTCAGGTATCTCAAGGGCCTTAAATCACCTGCAAAACGGGAGCTCTGTCAGCTCCTAAGAGTAACAGGCTGGGAGAGGCTTTATTACTAAGACCTTTTTGTTTCAAGTGCCTAGAAACTTCTCAAAGTTATCTTTGTCACCTGTTATCTCTGCAAGTTTCTGTTTTTATCCCCAGTTAAAAACATCTTTTCTTGCTGAACTTGTTGAATTTGTGAAAGCAGACTGCAAAAATGAAGTGACTTGGTGAAGTTAGGCATAGGTAACTCAACTTCTAATAGTGATGCCAATAGAAACTAAGAAATGTTCCATGACTGTTTATAGTCGATCAATAAACAATCAATATAAATAAAGTTTATAAACTTTCAAAGTCACTCCAGTAAGTACCATTAAGGCGGAGCTGCTGTGAAGACCTATCTGCCTAAAGGGACAATAGCTGCTCTACAGAACTTTCTTAGACCTCTCAAACACACTCTTCCTGACATCTTCAACTCCTCATAAGGAAAACCAATCTCTACTGATATCCTGATATGAACATTTACTGCAACATTTTCTTAGTTCTTGTACTTTAAAAAAACTAGTGATATCCCAAGCAGCCAGGGGTTAATGTGAACACTTAACCATGCTGTTATTCTGCAAACGTGCAGAGATGTCGATGCTCTGTTAAAGCAGCAGACTGAAGCAGCAACTCCAGTGAGCCTACGTGCAGAGAAAACAGACTCGGGACACTTCTCTTGCAGCCAGGCCATAAATCATCTCACAGGCCCCTCTAATTGCTGACAGGCCACTCACAACAAAGTGAACCAGTGCCAGAGCCCCACACTGGAGCTGTGCTCAAAGAGAACTCCCAGGGTACTCCGGAGGTACTAAGGCCAGGGAATGGCTTAATTCAGAAAGAAAATCTCAATACAAACGCGTGCAGAGTTCCTCAGAAAGTACTATGCATTTTTGCTAGCAAAAACCTGGTGAGAGGCGTGGGGAATTGTTTCAGTGACTGCAGCTAGGGAAGCCCTGCTCTCCAGGCCTGGGGGAGCTTAGAGTGTCCCTAACGAAACGGGAGCGAGAGGGGAAGAGCTGGGTTGTTTTGGCTACCGCCGCTTCAGGGGGCTTCACATTCCTGAGCGAGCTTTTCTGCTTGGAAGTGATTTTAAGATTCTTGTGGACGCTGGATCTTTAGAGAATTAGGCCTCCTTCTTCCCGCCTAACAAAGCCAGAGGCATTTTAGTGTTTCAGTGCCAAATCCTTCTTGTCATTTACCCAACTTCTCTTCAAAAACCTTGGCCAGAATCCCCCCTGCTGGGTTTTCTTTTGCTATACACACAGCCTTACTGCCCGTCACTAGCAGGCACAAATGAGCTGAGGACACTCCCAGAAGGCCCTTGAAACAAACAAAAAATTTGCTCTGCAATGAGCCGAATCTCTGCCAGAGAAAAGAACCATAAAACATTCCCAAACCTATTTATTGCAGTGTGCAATCCTGCCATTGGTTTCAAGTGGCTTCTTACCGTTTGTTGGTGGTATGTATGGCCTACAAATGGTACAGTCAAAACCCATATCAGCTATGTTTTCCACTTCCTCCTCTGTGTTTAAGTTCTGACAGATTGCATGCATCCATCTAGAAATTAAGTGGGGGAAAAAATACAATTTAAAGGAAATATGTGGTGTTTTAGGAGACCCAAATATCAGCATATGGTCCAGATAAAGGTGAAATACTTCTTTAATTTAAACTGTTTTAGGGAGAAGTGATGATCAGGTTCTCCACACACAGCATTCCTCTACGGTGGTGTGTGTTAAAATGCTGTGCATACAGTTTCAGATTACCTATTTCCCTTAACAGAAAGAAAAGCCATATATAATAATGTCCTGGAAGCATATATGTCTTAGTATCATAATTCTCTCCTTCGTATTTAGTCACCTTAAGTACTCACTTGATACAACGTAATGCAGATTTAGCCTCACCACAACACTCTTGTGAGGTAAATGCATTTATTTCTACTTTACAGAGGGGAAAATTGAGGCACAGAGAGATTAATTAATTTGCCCAGAGTCCCAATAGTTAAGTCTGGGGTACAACATAGATGAAGTACTAAGAGCCTTCTGAGACTCAGTCCAGTGCTCTTTACCACAAGACCATTCCTTTTATCTTTATGGTTTTACTTCATTAGGGGAAAGGAAGTGAAAATGAGTCTTTAAATATGAAGAAAGAAAAAAAAAAAAAAAAAAAAGATAGACCCTGCAAAATACCAGAGATCCTTACCGATCACACTGTCTACACTGAATTATGAGCTCTTCCTCCCGGTAAGTGCGGTAGCAGATGGGGCAGGTGGACAAGCTGGCACAGGGCGCGCACTGCGTGTAGTTATTTTGCCACTCGCATCTTAAACCCGGAGAGGTAGCGCCACAGTGCCTGCACCAAACACACCTGCAGAACAGACAGAATCATCAGTATTTTCAGTTCACACTGAGATTATTTTGTGCCTTTAGAATACTCCTACTTAGAGCCCTATGAATGATTAAGTTTCAGGTCAGTAGCCACTTTTAGAGTAAAAATGGCTCGTTTCAGGCCTAACACCACCTTTTATTTGAATGGAAATGTATCCTTTAGATTTTGGACATGACCAAAATTTTTGATATTTTTAAAAATAAAGTTCCTAAATAAGAAAACCTTTCAATCTGGAAAACCGGGCGGGTGAGCGTAACAATTCAACGGGTCAAACAAATTACTGGTTTCAGCTGTCATTCACTTCAGTGAGACGCAGAGACTTAACCTGTGCGAGAGGTCTATCCTGTTTGCATTTAACCCAGGTAAAGCAAATGGATTTCAGAAGGGCCTGTGTTGAGATGTGGCATTGGAGTGAAGTATCCAGGAATTTTTCCAGTGGTTTCAGCTGGTCTTCTTTTGCTAATATTTGAAATATTCAAAAGAAAGTTGTTTTCTACTTCAATACTTAACTGTTTTTGGCTTATTTTTCAGCATGAGCAAACAGTGTGAATTGGAGATAACAGTTTTCGTATTGAACTGAAAGGTGAACGAAAACAACTGGAAGGTACTTCAGCTGTTTCAATGGACGTTATGTTGTTAGCTTTGCTCAACACACTTGATTTAACCACAACTAAATCATTATTACAGACAAAGGGGGCAGTGCAAATCCAAAGTGCAGCCATCAAAAGAGGAAAAGGAAAAAAGAAAAAAGAAAAGGAAGGGCCAGGGGTTGGTATTTGGAGAGCAGAGGCCAACGCACCATTTGCACTTCCATCCTCCCTTGGGGACGGTCTGCAGGGGCGGGTCCAGGCAGTACGTGTGGTAGCTGATGTCGCAGTCGTCGCAGAGCAGCAGCCTGCCCGGGTCGGTGGCTTTGCCGCAGGCCTCGCACACGGTGCACTCGAGGCAGCGCCAGCCCTTGCTGAGCACCACCTTGGTGATCTGCGCGAGGGAAGGCGGCAGGTTAGCCCGGAGCCGCCCTGAGGGAGCGCGAGGGCGCAGGAGGGAAGGGCCGCCGAGCGGCGCCGCCCCGCGCGCCTCACGGCTCACTGGGCACCCAGCAGCCTCTCTGAAGCTCCACTGAGTGGCAAAGGCTTAAATAGAAAGAGACTTATTGCTCCTACTACCCTCAAACGTGTTTTTTTGCAGACAAACTAGCAGGACTGGCATATGCTGCCCTGAGTCTACATGTATTATAGTTTTATTCATAGAATCACAGAATCCTTAAGGTTGGAAGGGACCTCCCAAGATCATCTAGTCCAACCCCCTGCACACGCAGGGTCACCCAGAGCACGTGGCACAGGGCTGCGTCCAAGTAGGTTTGGAAGATCTCCAGAGAAGGAGACTTCACAACCTCTCTGGGCAGCCTGGTCCAGGGCTCTGTCACCATCACTGGTAAGATATTTTTTCTTAAGTTCCTGAGGAACTTTTGGTACTTCAGTTGTGGCTGTTTCCTCTAGTCCTATCGCTGGCCACCGCTGAAAAGAAGCCACCCCATCCTCCTCACTGCCTCCCTTGAGGTGTTTATAGGCACTGATCAGATCCCCTCTCAGCTTTCTCTTCAGGCTGAACAGGCCCAGCTCCCTCAGCCTCATTCCTTACAGGAGAAGCTGGTCTTGACACACTGCTGCTCTTTTCAGGTATGAGAAAACCAGGATTCAAATCATTTTCACTCCAGCATCTGCTCCATTTTCTGAATTATCTTTAATAACAAGACTTGGGGTCTTAGTGACCTGAAGTGAATCAGCAATTTAAGGTAATTCAATATATAATGGTACTATATAAATGCAAAGCCCAATCATAGTCTCATGAAGAATGCGGATGGTATTTTGTAAAGCAGCTTTCAAATAAAGTTCTGTGACATGTTTTAAAAAATCCCACTTCTATAGAGATGCACTTATATAACAAAGAGTGTACAGTTTATACTTTGCAGTAAATAGCTTATTATGTGCTTGCTAAGTCATCTCATAGCACTCAAATTTAATTTTCACACATTCTCTCCCAGACTAATGAATGTAAAATGTATTAATTAACCACTCCAACTGCTGTCAATTCTGACAGCCAACAGACAAATTGAATCAACTAATCCTTATGCCCCTAGATGCAGTCTACTTTTTTGTTTTTAATTCGCCTTGCATTTAGGTTTTAAACTTAAATCTCAAACTGTTATTTTAACCAACAGCTGGATAATCACAGCTATTTATGGTTGTGAAATTACAAAAAGGTTAATTTCTCTTGAGGCAATGCATATTATAAAATGACATTTAATTAAAGTCTTTTGCAAGTTGCAAACAAATAACGGTCCCATTAGCTAAGAATATCTAACAAGTTAACGACTCCCCTAATTACCACAGAACCCAAGGCAGCACAGTGCTATTAAAGTGCAATATCAAAATAAGGGACTTAAGTAACATCCTGGGTCACGAATGCACTCACCTTAATACTGACACAGTAGGGATGGTAACACTGACCACACTGGGAGCAGGCCAGCAACCGTCCCTCAGCACCTTGGCCAAAGCTCCCGCACACCACACACATATCCTGAAATCACAGAAAAAAGCCCATTTTCAGCACATGTCTGGCAGTAAATTCTGAAAACAGGCAACTGTAAAGCCCAACTGGCTCACTGCAAAAGTGGCTGCTAATGACAGTCACTTACTTTTTAACTAAAAAAAGAGAAGCGAATAAAATGGAAACCAGACTGTTATCCTGACCTGATGAAGAGTGAACTTGTCACTGTTAGAGAAGAGGACAACTGTATTATGCATTGAATTTTCTTCCTCATCCTTGTTAGTTGAAATATCCATAGTCGTGACCTATAAAAAAAGCCAAATATAAATAGTACATGCACCAAATTCTCTAAGACTTAGTTGAAAACTATCTGTAAATACATTTTTATAACTGTACTAGAGGAATACAAGCTTTGAAGACACTAGAAGAACACATAAATGTTTATTAGTACTACATGACCTTCTATAAAATTTACCTTCATCAGAAATTGCCATATTAACTTCATACCATTTTTCAAATCCACACAAGCACTGTCTCTATTTCAAAGAGACATTCTCCTTCTCCTCTTTATGTTTCTCCCATGGATTGTAAAGCACAAATGGAAGGAAAGAGAGCAGCCTAGGAAAAAGTCAGTGGCAACTGTCTCCCTGTGACTTTGGGAGTTGTGAATGAAATCATTAAAACTGAGTTCTGACCTTTATGCAAAACTTGTTCTCCAAAATACTCCATGAACTTATATTATTAGACCTCATCATTTACTCTCTGAACCAAGAGTGGCCATGACAGTTTGTTAAGTGCACGTAATTCTCTGGCAAAGAACATATTAATGACAGGGAAATGTAACTTTGTTTTCCGCCTGCTTTAATTTTCTAAGTGTGGATTACTTTAAACACAGCTTAAATCTGAAGTGTTACATAGCTAGTTTTGTTTACACAATAATTTAAATGTTTTACAAGTCCAAACATCACTCTGAGATAAATGCAAGTACTGCTACAACATGTACAAGGAATCCCTTCGATACTCTGTTGCTGAAAATCAGCCTTTACAGAGAAATAGCTAAAAAGGGGAGTTTAGGTAAATATTGCTAAGGCCTTTTAATTATTGTGTGGTTGACAGCACAGCAGATGAAATAAATCATCTCATCGAAAACCACCCGACACTCTTTGAGAGATGTGATGACAACAAAGTTCTTGGATTTCTTTGCATATATTAGAAAACAGAATTTGAAGTGCAGAACTACTCGATTTTGACACTGCTTTAATTATGGCCCCGCTTGGATTAACCTATTCCCACCTCCTCTCCCATCTCTCCAAGGTCGTACCAAGGAATGTTGAGGTTTGGGTGGCTGTTCACTGGCCATGATTCCATGTTGAGGAACAATCTGCTTGTTCAAAGGGCTGCAAATACAGCCATGCATTTCCAATGCTGGGCTTGCAAAAGGGGGGCCTCTTTGCACTGCTCCCTTCCCCTGCTTTCCCATAAGACAGCCAGATCTCTGCTCCAGAAATCTAACACAGAAAAGCTGTCATTTACTAAGAATAAGATCAAATATCTGTGGGAACTGGGGGAGAGCAACTGCAATTTTGATTTACACCCATTTACTGATCTCCATGAGAAAGGGAGTCAATGTTCTCATTCCAGTTACAAAAGTCTTGCAGGGTTTGGTCTGTAAAACTTGGCTTCTCCTCAAATACAAATTTTTGCTTTGCAACTTCAGCATAACTAAGTGAATGCCTCTAATTCAACAAGGTACCTGTGACCAGCCGTAAGTGGATTCATCCTGTACGTGTAAAATCACATTTTTGCTCGTGCACCTCAACCACCAAGAGCTTTAAAATTTAGAGAACAAACATATAGATGGCTACTCCCTTCCCAGACCACAAATACCTGCAGAGTATTCTGACCAATTATTGCCGAGCGAGCAAGAAGTGGCACAAAGCCATACAAACTCCACCAGGTTATAGGTAAAAACATAGGCAGTTCTGAAGAGTTTGAGAAGTGACTTGATAAAGACATAAAAATGAATAAATCCTTTTCTGTGCTCATCAGAAGCAGGAAGCCTGTCACAATCTGCAGGGCTGACTAATAACCAAGCTATAAAATGTGTCTGGGGACACCACATACACGGTTGGAAACAAAAGCCTATTTTTTGCAATGCTACAGCCTGCCCTTACAAGGAGCAGACCAGGTTACTATGATATTTAAGAGTTTTAAAAAGACTTCAAGTATGAAATATCTGAACCACATAACCTACTCAGTGACAATTCTTTTAGTCATTCTTTTGCTATAGTCCTTCACTAATGTTTCTTAAAAAAGGTAAGCTGACCTAGGAACAGAGGGATGGTGTGTACATTGATACAAAACAGGAAATAAACAGCAGAATACATATCAGCTTTCTTTATGGAAGAACAGTGAAATCCTGATAGGATGTCTACATACTCACGTGCAATCCAGAAAATCTGGACTTGGAAAATTTGGAAAAAGGAGCAAGGTGAGAAAGCTTACCATTAATATTCACCTATTCAGAGCAATAGAAAAATGAAAGGGAACTGTGAAGAAACAACTCCCCACTACCTCCTTTGTAAGAGCATTGAGAGGGAGCCACAAAACCTGCATGTAGTGATTTAAAACAAAGGAGGAAATTCTGTCTGCCACAGCCTGAGAGGCTACAGGGCTTCCCAACGGGCAGGTGGCTTCAGAAGGGAGCAGTTTCATTCCCACAAGCCGCCTGCTTGGCCAGGCCGCAGCCACCGGCTCCCGCCTCTCCCTTGACTCCTCTGGTGTCTTCCCGGTCCCTCAGCGCTCGGCGTGGGTGCCCTGGGGACACAGGGCTCTGCCTGCTCAGGTTGCTGTGACATCCACCCGCATCTTGCTCTCCCCTTCCCTGTTCCAGCGGGTGCTGCCTTCCATCGGCACGTTCTCCCTGGTGGAAAAGGCAGGAGCTCTCCCAGACTCCCAGCTGTTGTCCCTTCACGTGGCGACGGCAGCGCGCAGTCGCATCAGGTTCAGCTACAAACTGTGTTCTGCTCCTTAACTACACTTGAGGATAACCAGGACTTACCAAATGCCTTTACGTTTTAATGCTTTCTCATTGTACACAGTACTTTAATAAAATTACTACATTAACACACTAAAATATGACTCAAAAATAAGTGTTCTTACCCCTGGAATGACTACGGTCCCCACTCCGTTTTTCAGCTTTGATCGCCCTCTGCCTCCTCTTCCTGAGAGCCCGGCGCCGCGTGGCCTCCGCTTCCCCGGGAATCCTGATCCGCGGCCCTAGGCAACGTAAGATAACAACTTAAGTGCAACCTAGAGGCTTTTGGTTATACAGGATTCAAACTCGTTCAGTGCAAGAGGGAAAAATATAGATTAAAAAGCACCCTGTGATTTCAGGTGAATATAGGCACACTAGGGCAGAGTCATTAAACTATTGCATAAATTGTTGTGAAACACTTTAATTTCTGTAACTATTTACATGACATAATATCATTGGTGAAAAAGCAGCTCAAACCAGCAGTGTTTATTCCCAGTTCAGGAACAACTTGGAAATAAAGAATTTTTTTTTTTTTTTGACAACTGCAGAGTCCTCAAAATAAATGGTCCCTCTCATGCGATTTGGTTCCTTGGCACAAATAACCAAATGAACGTTGCAGGTTGTTGGGACTTAATTCTGCTCACAAAGAAAAGCAAGACGTGGCTCCATCAAACTCTTTAATCCAGGAGATGCAGAGATTTCTCATTTTATTGATTAATCTCAGGGCAATGTTTCATATATTACTGAAGTTTGTTTTTCCTTATGAATTTTCCATTGATTTTTAGGCAGACACATAGTTGCAGTGTTTGTGTGCTCTGCAGTTCCCAGTAAGCATCACCAACCACAGTGAACTGTAGAAAAGCAAATACTGCTTTTCAGTAATAACTACCTGATCCTGCTACAGTGACTTAGCTTGAATTTCACCTTTTTTTTTTTTTTTTTTTTTTTTAATTTTAAATCAGCTAAACACAACTTGTATATTTAAAACACTACTCTCTTCCAGAGGGAAGAGGAACGTGCTGAGCACGTTCCTGAGGCCCGGCTCCTCCGCACGGAGCGGGTGGCTCTCGGGAGCTCTGCCTGCTACACACGATGNTTTTTTTTTTTTTTTTTTTTTTTTAATTTCAAATAAGCTAAACACAAATTGTACAATTAAATCCCTAATCACTTGCAGAGGGAAGAGGAACGTGCTGAGCACGTTCCTGAGGCCCGGCTCCTCCGCACGGAGCGGGTGGCTCTCGGGAGCTCTGCCTGCTACACACGATGCCAGTCATGGTCATCGCTTACGGTACATGCCCCATGGAGCACGCACTAGGAAAGCAGTGAGGTTGGCTACTGTATCCTGCACTTGTGAACGGTATCTACAGTGAGGAACTTGAGGAAAAATTTCTCGACAGTGAGGGTGGCAGAGCCCTGGCACAGGCTGCCCAGGGAGGCTGTGGAGTCGCCTTCTCTGGAGGTCTCCAAACCCACCTGGATGCTGCCCTCTGCCCCGTGCTCTGGGTGTCCCTGCTGGAGCACGGGCTTGGAATAGGTGATCTCTAGAAGTCCCTTCCAACCTTAAGGGTTCTCTGGTTCTATGGTAGCCCAGCTGTGGCCACAGAAGAGCCAGATGTCTGCAGGGCCCATATCCAAGCGGACAGTTTGCTGCCAACTGCTTCTCATCCCAAGACCAAACGTTTGCTCCATGAAATGAGGTCGATTAAACCCCAGAGCCCTTCGGCGACGCTCTCGCCACCAGATACCGAGACCCTCTAGGACTGAGCCCAGGGATGCAAAGGAGTACGACGGGCTCGACAGTATTTTGGGAGCACAGCACCTCCTGTTTCCAAAGGAAATGCAAGTTCACGGTGATCATTAAAGGGAGAATCCAAGCACTGCACTGCTAACTTTCTATCAATGTTCATTTATTAATGGAGAGAGAAATTAAGTAACCTTACTCTTAATGCAAGGTAATGGAAGACAGCACAACTGGAGGGAGTGAAAGGAAGGACAAAGCCGACGACTAAAGTATTTTTATGTTGTTATACTGTACAAGGCAAAGGATTATGCTGCCCTCACATACACAAGAGTTAAAAAATAAGTAGAGACAAGACAAACAAATGTGAACTTTTAAAGACAGGACCTCTTAGAGGCACTTCTCATTTTCAGTATCAGTATTGTTATTTTCACAAGACCAGTAACAAGCACATACTTGTACCAATGTTAATGCTGAAAATTAATGCTTGAAGCAGCAAAAGCTGGGACAATGTCAAATTAAAATAAAACTAGCATGAGAGTTAAAGTGAGATGGAAATCAATCATTTGGAATCGACGGCTATTTGCTACGGTTTCGTAGTTGTGTGTTTTGATCTGGTTTTTAAATAGAAATTGCAGTTACTTTCTTCAACTCTCTTTATGATAAATGTCACTGCGGACACAAGCTTTGCCTGTCTCATCAGATAGGAAAGGAGGAATTTAGTCCCCCACAAGCTACAATGGATGTCACTTTGCATCCACGCTGCAGTTTGAGACGCACCTCAGACCTGCTGTCTGTAAATGTCTGGCTTTTACCTTCCTGCCAGGCCTGAGGACACTTTTTTGCTCAGTAACTTACTTTGACAGTTACTTAAAGCCAACCCCCTGAACCGAAATGCTAAACACACAGAAGAGTTGGAAATGCAAATTATTCTTTGCCATGTATAATCATGGCAAAACCATCACAATATTTGCACACTCTGGAAAGCAAATATTTTTTAACCCGAAAGCTCCAGAGCTTTAGAGGTTTTTTAAAGGCCTTCAACAGTGATAGAGTGAAAGAGTGACTCAGTTACGCTACGCAGGATTTCATTAGCAGTCTCTACAGCAGAAAGATAGCAATGGATACATGTAAATAAATTCAAATTATTTACCACTTTGATGCTCCAAATGGCACTGCCAGGAAGCTGTCTGGATTTAAAAATGTCCCGACCTTCTGAAATGTCTGGGGACCAGGAAGGTGGGCTCACTGTATTATTGGTACTCCAAGCCCCCTAGGATACGGTAGGTGAGAAAATAGATGTATAAAACGTTGCAACATAAAGGAAAAGAAAAAGCAAGCAACAAAAAAAAACAACCAAAAAAATCTGAAAAGCAAAGCACATGCAGGCATAGGCATTTCTGCATCAACCGAACCAGTCCATTAGTTCCCGCTGTGTGAGAGGATGGTGGGAGGTTTTCAGGTGGTCAGTGGAATTCGTACTGAAATTCTAACCTCAAAATGCAAGTTAAGTCCCAAGGAACAGATTTTATAAACAAAGGGGAAGACAAATACAAAGCAATCCGTCATAAAAGGAACAAATTGCATCCTTATGTTTTATTGCATCAAACTGGACAGTACTTTGAGATGAGAAAAGCTTTTCTGTTTTACACTTTGAACTGCATTTTTCGATGCCCTTAGTCAACTTTTGAGCCCAAACTCACTGGCAATCATGGCAACAACCAGTCTGAGAAGCACGTGAAGCAAAAGGAATATAAATAAAACATGAAAAACAAAGAAAAAATAATAAAACAGTCATGGGTAATTACCAAGACACTTCTTTGCTGCCAGGACATCACAAATAAACTATTGAAAAGCTCGATACTAACGTTCCCTTCACCTCAATGATTTCACGTTCATTACGCTATCAAATATTACCTATACACACATAGCAACTATATGGACAGATGGCATATAAGCTGAGCCCAGAAAAACTGTGTTTTTTATCCGTAATTGTGCAGTTCCCAACACTGCAGGTTGTCATTTAACTCTGTGACCACGAACGTAATAAAAGAGGAAAGTATTAAGATAGAAAAGAAAAAGTTGCCCATCTCAGGCTGCCTGGAAGCTTAACCGTGCACTGAGGCTGCACTTCTGCAGAGCCCAAAGGGGTAAAACCCAGTGCCCGCAGCCAGCGAGGGAATCCCAGAGACCAGGGAGCTAACACAGCACAGGATTATCAGCTCTGAACATGCAGCAGTCGGCCTTTCAAAACAGAATGAGTCGTCTATGATTTCTGAGCCACTTTTTGCAGTAAAACAGAAAATGTCAAAGCTTGCTATTTTCTGTTCTATATAGAATATTCTATACAACTTCTCTTCAATACAGAAGATTCTATACAACTTCTACAACTCATTCCCCCCCAAGTGCTTCTCTATGGGTCTTACAAGACGGCACGTGCTGCAGGGACCTTCGCTCACTGACTTGGTTATTGGTGCCCAGGACTTGGGGTTCTGGCCAAGAGACCTCCCAAATTCCATGTTTTTCTGACCCAGATGTACCAAGTGCACCCAACACCATATAAAGCCCTCAGCCACACAAAGGCATTTTCCTATATATGTATCAGAATAACCACTAGCAATCTTCTGTGATAATTCTTTTTAAGATGTTCTAGGGTTGTAGAAGAATAATGATAAAGATAAAAGCAGAAGCCCGTGGCACTGCAGGCTGCTGATGGGCAGGGGTGGGCAACGTGGGTGCTCCCCACGCTGGAGACACCAAAACCACCATCTGTTTCCACTCTGGAGGAGGACTATGAATAACTTTCTATCACACACAGAATATGAATAACCAATGTGTTTTAATAGCACCTGAATTATTAGATTTTGAAGAATGAGGCGGTTATTTATCCTACTGCCCAGCACAATGAATTAAGGAAAACAAATGCAAGGTAGAAACTACTGATTTTGCATGGATGCTCCTGTGCCCGGTGAAGGGCACGTTGGGTGCTCTAAAACTGAGACAAAAATACTTCAGGATCCAGAAAGCTTTGCTCTTACACTGCTCCATATGAAGTTGCACACATTCACTGCACTGGATTTTATTAACAGTATCAGGACACTCAACAAGGAGCTTAGCGACTAAAACACTGAGGAGCAAGTGGTGAATGCTGCTACCTGGAGAGTGCAGCTAATGCTGCCTTGGGGTCCCAGTATCTGTTTCAAACTTGTGCAGTCCTGGAAATGGCCTGGGCCTGCAAGGCTAGTTCCTCTGTGCAACAGCCAGGGAACCCGTGCTGGGCAGCTCAAGCGTGGAGCCACAGCTTCTACAACCAGGAAAGAAAATAAAAATCCATCTTCTTTGATGAATCCGCTTTTGAGACAGCTGAATTCCTTTCTGGAGATGTCCAAGTCTGGATCCACGGAGCGGAATCGCCCACGACCTGCTCTGTTCCAGCTGTGGTGCCAGCTGCACCCAGGCACCACCAGCAGCCCTCCTGGAACCTCCCAGAACCTGTTACCCTGTCCCTCAAAGTTCTTCTTCTCCCATTTTCTTGCTTCTCTTCTTCTTCTCCCATTTTCTTGCTATGGGTCTACACGACTGAGATACTTCGCTATTATCTCCACACGTTTGACCTTAAGTTTATGAACCTGCTGCAATGGAGGGGCTTCGCTAGAGAGGCAGAGAGGGGAGGTTTGGGCTACAGGGTTTTTATTTTTTCAATGTGAGAAACACCTTCCCCAATCATAAAAAATGTAGATATACATATATAAAAATTACTATACATTAAAGGCACTTTTAAAGATGACATAAATTGGGCACAACTATATAAAAATACAGTGTATTGTTCTTTTACATTCAATATTTTAGAGAGGTCTCTGTTGCTATTCACAACCCTTGATTCAGCAAAAAGTAGGTAAAACTTAAAAAAGAAAAAAAAAAAAAGAAAAAAAGAAAAAAAAAGGAATGTTTGCCGCACAGGGAGCCAAAACAATTTCCAGATACAAACCAAGGTTAAAACGTGGGAACACCTCTCACCCATCAGGGATTTGTTTGATTCCATACTGCCCACAGGGAAAATGTTTACCCGTACCTGAGCCCTTCTAAACCTCTCACTCTCCTGACCACCATTCCATAGGTTCTGGTGCCTCGGAAAGGCCCCTAGCAGGAATTGGGCACTGCAGCTTTATGCTGCTGGAGATTATTTTATCCATGTCTAAAGCATGTCAACATTTATTTAAATATAGTATACACCTCACTGCACAATCACCTATAAAATGATATTGAAGTGCAGCAAAATAAACAGAGCTCCCAAGCTCAGTGGAAGGAGACTAAAAAATAAAAATGTTTCAGAAAGCATCAACTATAGAGAAGCTTCTTTTCTCAAGCAACAGATTATCTACTGACATCAACATTATATTTGCATCTCCAACGTGGAAAACTAGATGAATAAAGGTGAAAAGTGACCAGTACGAGGCCAAAAAACTACCTACTAGTTGTGTTCAACTTGGGTTACCAGGAGCAGGTTAGGAAAACAAGGCCTATTTTTCACTAATGAAGCAGATGCTTTATTTTTATTCAGTCTTTTATATTCAGCCTTTATTCAAGGCAAGTTCCCCCCTATTTCCACAAGGTGCTCGTCTGGGTCAGATCTAAATAACCAGGAGAAGGCAGGGAAGAAGGCTGGGGCTTAAAACAAACTCTTTATTTGCTTTTCTCACCAGAAAATTGTTATTAGCCTTATAAAACTTCCAGCTTAGGGACAGGATTATCAAAATCAAGGGGATCAAAAGGAGCCCTCACAGTTCGACATAATTTTAGAAGAGTTCATTAATTTTTCAAGTAACTTCTCCAGTTCCACAATAGGCACCACTAAGATGCTGCCTTAAGATGTTATTTGTACCCTTTTCTTTTAAAAGCTGATTTGCAAACTGATGAATAGATTATGTTAATTTAGCATCTCAGCTGGGATTTGGGTTGTGCTAGACATGAATTCTAAGCAGTAATTCAACTCAGTTGTGTTTGCATTACTTACTCCATATATTGGGAGGTTAATGTCTATACCATATTGGATATGGAGCATACAAACCAATTCTTTTTAGTTGTGTTTTTGGCATTTCTGCATTTGCATTTACAGTTGGGAATCAGCCCGTTTCCTCATTGGGCTCTCCACCAATTAACTGATTTTACTGCTAGTTTCACGACGCTGCTGCCCCCGCACACCAGGGGCAAACAGCACAGAAAAAATAAATGTGACTTTTACTGGAACACAAAAGAAAACCAAACTCTTCCCCAAGAGACACTCTTAAAGTTTTTAAATCTGCCTGACAAACTGGTGTAAAACTTTAAACTAGGGAAATAACTTTCATGTTAAGATGGTGCACAGTACGAGAAGTGTTTGAGCACTGTGGCGCCATCAGAACCCAGGGAACTTAATGCTTTCTTTCTAATAGTTCACAGTCTATTTTTATTTCATGTGTACTTCTATAAGCTCTACCACACTTACAGATGAGAAAAAAAGAAATGGAGATCCTCTAAAATATTCCAAACTGAATAATTTGTTGCTTTTCTTATATATGCCTATCCCTTTCAGAATGCTGTTTCATAGCTCCCCTTAAAAACCACATTCCCATTGGATTTTTGAACCCTTCGCTTCCATGAGAAAATGGGAAACATTTCTTAACATATAAAATACTTCTTTAATGATAAGTTCAGAAAAACATGACAGGACCACCCTGGGAGCTCCAAAGCCTAAAAATAAACTCTGTGAGGAGCAGAATCGAAACTCTCCTTAATCCGTCACACTGATATACATCTTCTGTAGGATTCTGCAAACACAAAACAAATGCAAAACAAAGTCCTAGGAATCATTTATTCCCCTAACTATGTAATTAGAACTGAGAATAAGATGGTGCAGAAGGCTACAGACCTGCTGATTAATTTTCAATTATCAAATCTAATCCTCACCAAGTCACAGCAATTTGTACCAGACAGTTCTTTCTTAGTCTTCACTCATACAACCAACTATCACTATTTGCCTTAATTAAAAACTCCATCTAGAAAAAATGTGGCAACATGATGGTAACAGAATTGCTGCACCTTCATCTATGAAGTCCATTTAAGAAACATTAACACATATTAAAGATGTCAGCCAAAATATATGGAAAAAGAAGAGTTAAAAGAAAACGCACATCATCAATCTTTGCATTTCTAGCATGTGTATTCCAGCATGTATTAAAAATATAATGAATCTTCCTACTTGTTTTGCTCTAAGTACCATCAAAAAAAAAAAAAAAAAGCTTGTTAATTCTCACCAGAGAACCTTTATTATGTATGACCTTCAATTATTTAACATGAAATTACTTCCTTAAAGAAATAAACTGTGCACTCCCTTGGGAGAAGAAACACCGCCGAGCCTCCAAAATAGGTCAACTTATTGCATGAAACTCAAAGTTGAACTAACTTCGTAAATGCATGTAGAGAAACACTCTGCGTGCTTACCTGTCTTGACCTGGGTCTTCCAGGAGAAAACTTCCTCTTGGTGATGGCTGGTTTCCCCATGCCAATTTTTGGAGTGACTGATATGTAGGTGGTTGTGAGGGCACCCCCGGCAGCCGCAGTCGAGGCTGGAGGCTGCCTGTGCTGCCCGTCCCGGGCAGGGTGCAAGTCTAGAGCAAGGTCTGCAGAGGAAGACACACTTGTCTTGTCGGCATTAACTGAGGGTGCAAGGGAAGGCAGAGTCTCAGCTGGCGATTTTAGGGCTTTCTCTCCAACTGGTGAACTGCTTTGCAAAGCTTCATTTACAGAAGCAGCTTTTCCTTCCGAAAGAGCTGGTGTTTCTGAGCTCTCCTTAACTTCTCCTTTCTCTCTGTCTCTTTGCACTTCTACTATTTCCAGTTGCTGTTCCACACGGATACAGATTTCCCCTTTATTTTCAGGCCCCTGTATTTCTGGCGCCACAGCTATGGCCTCGGGTACCGAAGACAGAGGCCGAGAGTCTGCTGTGGATCCCGCTGCTGCCTCAGCCCTGCCCTGTGACAGGGACAGCCGCGTCTCTCCCACTTGCTCGTCCGACCCCTGACCCGTTGCAGCTTCCACCCCTTCCATCGTTTTCTCAGCCTGACTCTCATCCAAGGCTGGGGGCTTCTTGGGAGACACTTCCATTTCAGCTGCATGAGCTTCATCGGGGGCTTCTGCTTCCAGTTCTGCGGTCTTGTCTTCTAGCGACGTGCCTGTAACTAAGGACAGTCACGTTAAAGGTTCAGTGAAACAATGAACAGTTCATAGAGTTGTACTGGTCACCAAGCACACATGAAATACATATCACTTGCTTAGGAAAATTTATGTGAAATTTTATACATAACTTAAAATATACTGTTTAAATATCCATTTTTGACCCTATGTTTGTAGTAAACCGCATTTGTAGCAGATATATTGCAACTTTTTGATTGCTTCTGCTCTCTACCCCAGATCCGCAAGGGTACCTCATAAGGAAACAGGCCATTTTCAGGGATAAACTCAGGCACCCGCTCGCATGTTTTCCATAAAAACGCACTCAGGGGAAAGAAGATTTCATTGGATATCAGGGGCAGCTTCTCAGTTAGCAAGGATTCCACTGTACGAGGGTACTCCCGGACGTGCAAACTAGCAAAGCTGCCACAGCTGCACTGCTGCAAGTCAAGCTGACAAGTGAGGATCACAGTTTGTAACTGCAGAGCTGGGAACCTGGCTTGCAAGGGGCATTCAGAGGGGCTGCAGTAATGACCTCAGGACTGGGAACCTGCATTTCCATGCAGGTAGCTCAAAGCAGTCTCTCCTTTTTCACTCCTACACTCTGCAGATTTAGACAGCAGGAATTTATGCAGTTTAAGCAACTGTCCCAAGAGTTGCCAAAAGACAATGACCAAGAAGAACAGGACATGTTCATATTATAAATATTTTCTCCCTAATGCTCTTTAAGAAATCACCCCATGTGGAAATAGCCCATGGTTTATCATGCCCCCATTGATTTCTTTCACAAAAATGTAAGTCACCCCTTGAACCAAACCTAATTTAATCCATTATTTTCTTCATCAAGGACTTCCAGCACACTGCATCCATTCTGTGCAGCCCAGCATCCTCTTTTCTGCTTCGAAGTAGCTCGTAGGATCTTCATTTGATGGGTCCTGACTCCATTACAGGTTTGACTCCATTACATTTGCTATAATGCCTGCAGTCTTAAATTCACACTGCTCCACAAACACATTAGCCCCTACAGTTCACAGCCTCGGATTTTATTGCATTTTCACTGACAAAATTTTAAATCACAGCCCTATCTCACCCGCCACGGCGATCAAAGTTAAACTGCAAGATTGTTTTTTCACTCTCTTGGCTTTAAATTCGGGTTTCTTGCTTTCCCTTGGGGCAACCATCCCTGAGCACAGCCTGGGGATGGGTGGGTTGCACTTGAGAGTTTGCCCCTGACATCAGTCACTGAAACATTTGAAGGACTTGAACCCAAACCCCTCTATCTGCATTTGTCTCTTTGCCTTGGCCTTGCTGAGTGACTGATTAGATACATGTATTCCCAGAGCCTTAATGCTGTAGTACATCCTGTCTGGATATGCTTTAATAAACCCATAATCTTGTGAGGAAGAGGAGACAGGAGAAAAGGAGAAAACCTTAACTGAAAACGGGAGATCTCAGTTATTAAGCACGACCCACCACAGTACAGAAGGGGAATTTCATCCCATCTTGTTATGTTAGTGCAGAAAACACAAATAACTAAGTCTGCACAATCGACTTAAGTATCTAACTCCATTTCCAGCTGTTGGAGAAAGCCACCCCTATCAAGTTTTGTGTTTTCTCAGGCTGCAAAGCTCTTTCTTACCATCTGTGACACATCCAACAGCTGATTCTTGAAGAAGGCTGTTACCAATAACAGTTTGTTCCTGCAAGACCGCATCTTCTGCACTGCTTTCCATCTCCATTTCGTTGGTACAAGCTTAGGGAGAAGCAAAGAAGTCATCAGTTTGGACAAGGAGTTCATTCTATTACTTTGGCATCAATAGTTGCTATCAGTACTTGACCTTTCGACTAAACAGAATGATATTTAACTATGTGATAGGAGTTAGGGCAAATGAGGTCAATGAGAAGGTCAAGGAGAATATATGGGACTCCTTAAAGATTAAGAGCCCTTTTCTCATTAACACCAAAGCTGCTTTGTACTTTTCAGATAGTGGAAAGAGGGTGTCAAGCAAATCTAACAACCTACTTGGGGAAATAAGATTTACACACAGGCTCAGGTTCCTCTGCACCAACTAATACAAAAGGCCCTTTATCAAACTTCTAAATCTGAAAGAACTTGTAGCAGGAAGGCTGCAAATCTGCATACAAATACTACAAATGCTGTGGCCCTGTGATGAGGTTACATCTACCAGCAGCTTGGGGAACAACTATTTTTCAAACCATCAGTAACGTGGAAAATAAAATACCTCTCTCTAGGGATTTCCCCATGTTACAGAAAGGAAGGTGCGTGAGAAGGACAGAACTGAGCTTTGCTTCAGCTGAGAGTGCACAGGAACAGGCAGCACACATCTTTTTCCCATTTAAATGAAGCTTTTTTTTTCCAATTAAAGGAATTCATTAGAACACCCTAGACAAAGTAGCAGCATGAAAATCAGAGCATACAGTCAGCATTAACTGAAAAAGAATTGATCCTCCGCGGATGCTGATGCAAAAAGAAAAAAAGGGCTTTCTGTTCAGGAAAGTCTCTTTCAAGTTGGAAAGGCAGGAACTATTAGGGGATGCCACTTTTAGCACCAAAAAAGTTGCTCTCAGACTCCGCCAACTTTAAAGTGATATTTTAACTTGGAGGAAATGATCATTTAGATTGGTTCCAAATACGAGTTTAATGCACAAAAGTGCTCTCTTGGGCAAAAAACACTGCATGACTGTAGTCATGTAATAGCTCCAGATTACTGCTAGTAGCTGAGATGACAGCCCCTTCTTCCTTGGGGAAAAGAGATGCTCATCAAGGCTTCTCCTAGCTAGAAACCATTATAAAAGCCTTACTCAAACTTTAGCCTTACAAATAACTGCTATTTATTCAAAAGTGATTCCAGTAGAAGACTGGAAGTGTATTCGGTGTAAATTTTGGATCTTAAATTTTTGCTAAATTGTCTAAATAACACTGAGAGACCAATAGCTTCCACTAACCTTTCACAACAGAAGTGATCTGCAAAGGTTTAAGCTGCTTCTTGTTTTCTTCGTGTATGTGCCCACTGCCAAACTTCTTCAGCCCATTTATTTAAATTTACCTACTGCAATGGCCCTTTCTCCAGGGTTTCTCTTTCAGCATTTCTCTACTTTGAAATTATATGCTTAAATACTGTGGCTAACATCAAAGAGAATGACTTGTCTATGCACACCTTGATTAAAAGCACCTTGATTAAAAACACCCGACCCTTGAGCACAGAGGAGCTTCCACTCCTGTCCAGGAATATTTACCAGGAATGTGCATGGTAGATATGAATCCCTCAAGAGAGTTTTCAAGGAGTAGGTTTATACCACTTACTGTACCAGCCCTGAAAATCCTACACAATCTGCAACTCCAGGTTGGGAAGCTGGACCTGGAAAGTTGTGAGCTGCCTCCATGGGGCTTATTTGATTCCTGTCACAGCCAAAAAACTAGAAAGCTCATTGAGAAGCCAGTCCATACATGGGTAGCTTGGGAAGTTACTGCTAAATAAAGCAATGGATAAACTCCACAGAGTGCAACAGGGGTGGCTGGTTCACAGAAGACTTGGCAAGCCAGCCAGAGGTGTTTCATTTGCCATCAATATTTGGGAATATGTGCCAAGGGAAGTGGTGCTGCATCCTACCTGCATCAGGCTCAGGAGCGAGGTCAGACGTGTCCATCATGTCACCCATGTGGGCGGGCTCCCCGTCGCCCTGCTTGCACAGGGTGCAGATGTACTCCTTGAGCTGCGCCTCCAGCTCGCTGCCCGGGGAGCCGTCGCATTCCACGTGAACCCACCTGCAGACAGCAATTTAGGGTGACTATGACTTTAACAATACAAATATAATCTCTCCTGGTAAGAATCTATACAAAAATAACAGCGTTTTTCATTCCCCTAGCATCTCCAACAGTGCTTTACTTAGGAGCTTCTTGAATAAATAATCTATCAGTATGTCAAGTGCTGAACAAATTTAAACATGAAGACCTAAACTATTTCTAAAGCCAGACACCACAACATGTAGAGCAATATCAAGATGTTGCACAGCAAGCTAGAGCAGCACTGTACATCAAACAGTCTACACTCATAAATATTCTCCTTTCCTATTTTTATTACCTGCATAGCATGTCATGAAAAATTGAGCGGAGATTCCCCGTTTGGAAATGTAACAAAACAGAAAACACTGCAAACAACTCTCTTTATACAAGTCTTATTTACACAATATAAAAATTTAAATATTACCATTTATAAAAATTATGACGACGACATTTCTGGCCTGTTAACTCACAAACCAGATGCAAGAGAAGGAGCAGCAGCAAAATGTATTTCTCTGTATCCCTCACTAGCAAGAAAAGCACAGGTAACTGCCAATCCCACTTCCTTGCTAAGGTTAATATAGCAGTGCCCACTGCAGTTAAGGATGAAGGATGGATATCACCCAGCAAATTGCTGCAAATTGACAGTGGGCAGCCTTGCCAGCAAAGTGACACCCGCTCACCGCTCTCTGCAGGTGTTTCTGGGCCATTTAACCAACTCCTTACCTTTTGCACAGGTGACAATGCAACGTATCTTTCGGGAAGTCTTGCAGGCACAGCTTTTCACAGAAAGGACACGACAGGCTGTCTTGCTGCTGGTAACAACTGTCACACACCAAACAGTTATGGTGCCACTGACAACTTGTCCGCGTGCCGCACTCGGCGCATACTCTGCAGTTCTGAGGAGCACAGGAATGTAGTTGTTAATTATGAGAAATTCACATTATGATAGAACTGCCACTAACAGTTTTCTTGTTTAAAATTAAATGTTCTCTTTGGCAACACTGACAAATTGACCAAGATCTGCTAACAGAAAAGGAAGAGCTTGTGCAACAGCAGGGAGGGCCTCCTCGCACTCCTCCCTGACCAGAAAGGAGTATTTCTTATGCAACCAAACATTTTCAGCCCTAATCTCTGTCACCTTATGGCTATCACAAACTGATTACAAACCTCCACTCAACTTATTTCTAGAGACTTCCTTGCCATGTGGAAACTGTGTTTATTACTATTTACACTTCAAGTTTCTAATAAAACCACCGCCTCATCCTGCCCTCCTCAAGTGCAAAGGACCTTGAGCTGCAGAGCTGCTCCTCCGACAAGGAGACAGGACACAAGGAGCCCTCCAGGGTAGATGTCTATGTGACCTTGCACACACTGCAGCCCTGCAGTCATCATGAGAGCAGCTCTCACTAGAAGAAGGTTCCTCCACCTGGATTCCTCTTTTTCCCCATACAGTGACTGCTTCACTGTCCTATGCAAGAGACTTCAGGCTCTGCACTGAAAGGTACCTTCATGCAGCAGCTGGAAAGCCCTGTGACTCTATGCAAAGTCCCAGCAAGTCAACAACAAACACAGCACAGCATAATGAGCATAACAATACTCGGACCCACTTAATGACAAGGACTAACAGTGAAAACCTTTCAACTTACTTTACATTTCCAGCCATTTGTTGGTACCGAGTCCATAACTGGTTGTAGACAGAATGTATGGTAGCCTTTGTCACATGTATCACACACCAGCATCTTGGTATCTTCCCCAGAATGTCTAAGAAAAACAGCAAAAATTATTAAGCCATTAAAAATCTGCTTAATGAGAAGGCTAACGAGAAAGGGAGATAACCAAGCACATTAAAATATACAAACGCCATCTGCAAGTACGTCCAAAGATGATGCCCTTAAACTCATGAATATGAACATATGAATCAAGTATGGTGTGTTTATTTTAAAAATTACTGAGCTGCTGCAACCACAACTCGCAGAAATCATCCCATTTTCATTTTCAAGCATGTAAGATTTAATGACATTTTTGTACTGAAATCAGTTCCAAAAAAATGAAATCTTGTGCTTTATTTCTTTCAGCAAAGAACATACAATTCTGCTTGTTCCTACTAACAGGCTGACTGTACATCTTTCAAGAAAGAAAACAAGCCCTCATCTCCAGCCACTAGGATTTCTGCAGTAGCAACCAATATGATTGCAAAGGTAAGACAAATGTGAAAGAAGCGATTTAAATTTCCCTACATAGATTACAGAGCTCCACCACGACATTCAGTGCTGACATATTTGCAGGAGACGAGCCCAAATATTTTTGGTGGCATCTAAAGGCCTTGTGCGCTGCTTTGGGCTCAAATAAATTAATTCAATGAATGAGTATGCAACAAGATTTGCCTGAAAGAGCTTAAGAGAAAGAAAGCATGGCTTTAAATACTAGATGCCGCTTCATTACCTGGGAGACCTGGTACTTTAAGTAGTAGTAAATGCTGTCTGTTTGCATCCTTAAACTGCTGTTCTTCAACACTGACATAAAACTGTCATTCTGTGTAATACATACAAAACCATCATATTTTCTTCTATCTTTCCACCAGAGAGAGGGTTTGTCAGCAAACACTGCACAGCTCTTTTGGGGACTCACTGCAGAACGTGCCTCCCTATTTCAGCTTCACTGCTGACAAGGACCATCACTCGGAGGTGATGGAGGAATAACCTTCTTTAAAATGACTGAATCTGGGCAATTACCAAGTGTGCTCCTGGTGAAATAAGAGAGCACTGACCCATGAGGTACATGAAGCTCTAGTGGTTAGTCCCTCCAACTCTTCCAGCTGATCTGTCCAAAACTGATCTTGTGAAAAGAAATGTCTGATTTCTTTTCTAGTAAGCCCATAAGGAAAAAAAAACACGAGCAAAAGATCTTTACAGCGCCCCTCAGATTAGGTTTTGAGAGAACTTGGTTTTCTGAGTGAAGCCTTGTAATGCTGCAACTATTGCCGTTTTACTGTCTCAATACTTGGCTGACTTAACAAGTCACCCCGGACAATCACGTCACTTTTTTCTTTGCTCAGCTAAACCATCAGTTTGTTTTCCTAATGACTCATCAACTGCTGCCCAAAAATAGGATGATAATGATGATGACAACCCAATGGCAGCTCAGTTCTTCCAGAAGAAAGATCCTAAACCCTGGAATTTGATCAGTTATTTAATATAATAATAATAATGTCAGCCATTTCTGAGCAAGCAATCTCTGCTTTTTTCCAAAGAAAAATGAAATACAGCAACAAAAAAACAGTCAACAAACCAGATGTCTGAAAATCACGGAATATAAATCCAGGAACAGCCTCCCCATGCCCCTCAGGTCTCACTTACTTGCAGTTCTGGCACACTTTGCAATCAGGACACTGCCAACCTGCTCTTTTTAAAGGGGTGACTTGTATGTCCAGGCACATCCCGTGGTAATGCTGCCCGCAGGTGGTACAAAAGAGCTGGTCGAAGAGGTCTCCAGGGCTGTCGCACACGGCACAATTTGCTTCTTCCTTTGCTACAAAGGAAGTTATTTTCCAGTGACTGTTGCATTCAAAAGTATGAACTCGGCCAAATGAAACTATGAAATTCTTCAGTGGTTCTTACAAAACAGAACTTATTCTCATGAAATTCTAGTTTATTATACCTCATGTATACTTCTTTCATCTGGTTTTCTGACATACTCAATTCATCTTCTCGTAACAAAACTACCTTCGTGGTAAATTTTGTTCATGTCTCACCAAAAAAAAAACAAGTTTCTTTTCTGGACAAAGTAGAAAATCAAGCTCCTAAGAGATCTACAACTACTGCTTACTTCAAATATTTGCAATATGGTTGTTCAAGCTTCAAATGGGCAAGCAAGGCAAACCTACCAATCTCAACTAAAGACTGCCCGAAGAGCAGACTTTTGAGTTAACTCTTTCTATACTGTATTAAAATAAAGAAATATAGTGACTTTGCTGGACACCACTGCCAGTCTTCAAAACAGCAGAGTAGGAACATGCACCTTAAAACTAATATACTATTTAAGCCAGTCCTGCTACACATCCATATTTATAAACCTGTAAATGCAGACTTCATAGCTGTAGTCATGTGAAGAAAAACCCTTAAAAATAATTTTATGGAATTCTGATGTTACGGATCTTCATGTCCGACTTAAAAGCATGACATTAAGGGAGACAAAAGACTTGCCCTGATATCTAAGAGCTCCCATCAAAAGGTGGCCTTTATGAATTTACATCTCATTTACACGTGCTACGTGGTGGCACTGCCCAACGTGCTCCATTCCAGATGGGACCTTCCCTGCAGTGGCCCGAGGTGGAGCCCATAGCAGAGCATGAGGTTGGACACCTTGAAAGTCCTGCAATGTTCTCTCCTGAATATTCACAACTTCAGTTTTATATGAAAAATAAATTTATTTTTATTTATATATTTACTTTAATCAGTTTAATATGTGACTTTTCACCCAGAATACAGAAGGCAAAGAGGCACAATTCTTTTTTTTCCCCTTTCCATAATTCAATTTGAGCAAATATACACCGCCTTTATCATTTTATCAGCCATTTTAACAGTAATTCTCTTGCTGTTATTGCACCTATTTTATAAATTACTTCAGGAAGGCAAAAATACCAACTTCTACAAGACATCTAACATACAAAAAACATCACCAGGGCTAGAAGGGCAATGAGACAAGTAGAAATAAAAAATGGTGAATATAAGTGAAGGAGCTGCAGGGGTTGTGTCTTTGAGACACAGAAACGTGGAGAATCAGCAAGAGCAAGGCCAGGAACCTCAGGAAAACATGGATATTTAAAAAAATTAAAGTTTTCTACTATACAGCAGAGAACTACTATATAGTAGAGTAGAACTATAGTAGTAGCATATACATTTATATAGTATACAAGTATAGTAGCATAGAAGTAGTATAGAAGTATAGTAGTAGAACTATACAGTAGAGAACTGCTATACAGTACTATACAGTAGAGAACTTCAAGCTACTTAAAGGTAAGGTATTTAAAAGAAGGAGTTCTCTACTGTTTGGCCCTCCCCGGGGCGGTTCAGTGGAGCGGCTTCCCTCTCACCTTCCCATGCCTTATTCTTCCATCTGATATATTTCAAGGATGAAAGTGCAAGAGATTTAAATCTGCAATAAACAGAGCTCTGGCTTCTCCTTTCTCCTCTTCCCAAATTTGAAGGGAAAAATTGTCAGGGAAAGGTAACCAGAAATAGGGATTTTCCATAGTGCACTATAGCAGTGATCTGCAGTTAAGTTTCCTGTCTACAATGGAGAATCTTTGCTCATATCATAATCTGAGAAGTGTGATCTAAAAATAATTAAGATTTTAGCAAGTGTAAAAATTGGAACCCATGTAATTTTTAACATTATCAAGTAACATAGCCTTATAGCTTCAGAAAGGATCAAATTAGGTTTTCCATTACACAGTCCTATGCATGCTGATTTAAATTCAAGTTTAAAATGACTATTTAGCAAACTACTTTGGAAAACAGACTTTCTCCTTCACAGAAATCCCAATAATCTCAGGTACCCATGACACAGAGCCTCGCTCCTACAACACAATAATTTCACTGACTCCAGAGGAGTGGGTCACATGCCAGATTTCATCTTATTCAAGCAAAGTTAGGTGTTTAACAGGAAAATCTGCATTTCTGGTGTGGAGTAGGGTGAAGGATACAACCACCATCGTTTAAAACATTAACGTATTAAGGTAAATATATTTCACAGCTGGTACTAAATGTCTCATTGACCGACTTGTACTTACATCTTTCAGGAGCCTGATCGATGTGGTCTGGACAAAGGAGGGACAAGTTACTGAAATCCTGAAAGGTGCCTGCTCCAGCAGCACAGGGGTAATGGTACGTCTGGGTACACTTCTCTTCACAGCATTTGATAGTGGCTCCAAGGTGCTTACAATATGCACATCGCTGAAAAACAAGCACAGGAATCATGCAAAAAAAAAGCCTTTTTTTAAATATATTTTTTTCCTTCTAGGGTTGTTTGCAGCCAGGTGAGCTCCCCAGCCTCATTTCACACACAAACATCTCGGCCAGCAGAAGCGAGTGAATACGGAGGAGGAAGGATAAAGGGGCTGGACTGTCTTCCAGTGGCACTCTCAGATCTTTACATCTTGATAAATATTTAGCAAAACCAAAGTCATGAAAGTATTTCTTGGTAAAACTGTACTATAAGAAATGTGAACAGCAGTGAAATATGATGTTTTACCAACGCTATACGTCATACGAAACAATTCCCTCTGGGAAGATAGGAAGATAAGGCATTACTTAACCTAGCACCTCTTGCTCCTCTCCTATTTCCATGCTACACAAATACCACCACCGAGCTAACTTTCACAAGCCATAAATACACATGCTTATTATCAGAGGCCGTGCTCCCATTTGCAAAGAAATCATTTCTCAGAAAGAATTACCCGAGAACCCTCCAATTCTTTACTCGGGAGGGAACAGACTCCATCAGGCTGCTTATAAAATCTCCCCACACCTTTCTGATTCAGTTCATCCATCTTTCTGCCGTCCTGCAGCTCACTGCAATCCCTGCAGCCCTCTAACACGTTTTTGCACTTTTTCACCAAGGCAACAGTATTACTGAAGGAGAGAGCACAGCCGTGTAAGATCTGGAGTAAATGTAAGGAAAAGCAGGTCAGCGGCTCATAGGAGGACATACATAATGTAAAGCAGCAGCTGAGCTCAATGACCCTCATTTTTCAGAATAAAAACATATACTTTAATGCCAACGTTATACTAGGTATTTTACTAGATTAAGTGTCAAGCAAAAACTAGATATTCCAAATATCTCTATCCATACTCCAAGACAAAGAGAAGTTACATATTACATGTGCTCGATTCTCAGAGCACAGGAGATATTTATTGCCACACTTGTTCTATGTTTCAAAGTTTGGCATGAGATTAAGCATAAACTGATGCTACTACAACGACATAATCACTGAAAACAACCCATCTGAACACACAGACCACAAAGCTGTCAGTGGTAACTTCTGACATTCTTAAAACCAGGTAAAATTGACATCTTTAGCAAGATATCTGCTTACACAGCAGTTTGAGGGCAATGGCAAGAAAAAAATACTACTTTATACTGAAAAAAATACACTTTAAAAATATTTAGGCACAGAAATTAATAGTTCACTCAAAAGGGCTACTGCTGAGTTTTCTGTGCTACAGTCTGCAGGTGTTGCAGGAATTCATGCCCCTACCTGTGCCTCCAACACCTACTTTAAGGATGAAAAAGCTGCTTTCTGCTCCTTTAGAAGGCAGGGAGAGGGCAGGGGGAGATAAGCAGATAGTTCTATGAAGTTCATTCAAGCAGGTGAGAAAGTTAACGACTGAGTTTAAAGACTGTCAACTAGTACTGCAATACAAAAAAAAATCATTTTAGGATGTATAAATCATGGAATTCATATATAAAAACAAGAAAATGTAGATTTTCTGGTTCCTAACTCCATAAACTGCAAGGACACAGCACCATGCAAGCCCTTGCATGCAGCCCATCATTCTGCACTCCAAGCTCCTGCATCCCATCCTGACGTCTCAGATTATGGCCAAGTCTCTGCTCCTCCTGGCAGGACATGCAGATTTCAAGGCTCTTGCTCAAGAAGAACCACGAGGAACAGGAAAAGTGAGGAAGAAATGAGGTTCAAAAAATGCCCAGCAAGAAGGGCATTCAAAGAGCTCCCTGGATCCTATAATTTACCCCAGAAAAACATAGTGAAGAACAAAATTATGAGCAAACAGCAAACACTCAAAGAGTAAAACTTTTACTCAAAATAGGAAATAATGAGGATGGATTATACAGTGATATTAATGGCATTTTTAAATGCTGGGTTTATATTTCAAAACCACAAGTCAGCAGTGGTGCATTATAAACCTCTCTGTAGGTTTAGAACCCACCTTCCTCTGAATGTTATACAAACGAATGGTGTAAATTGGATTATTAGGAATCAACAAAACCTGGAATAACAGTAAAGCCCTGAAAAACATTGATGATAATTTAAGAAATCATATAAAGATGTTGGAATGGAAACCCAAATTACATTTAATTGAACCTTCCAACTCCATCCGCTAAACTGTATTGGCAATGAAAAGCACTTGGCAGCTAAGTAATACACACACTTTAAAACCCAATGTGGTAGAGATCATCTGAAGCAAATAAAAATCACAGAATATCAACATTCGCTGAATTTATAAGACAGATAAAGCAGTCTGAAGAAATAAATGCCCCAGGGGATATTCTGGCAACAGCTGCTGATTAAGAAGTTACTTTTTGAGCAGTAGGAGCCAGCACTTCTTTGAAAACAGGCCACGTGCTGTGACCCAAGAAGAACAAGACTGTAGCTCTTAAAACTCACCGGCCTTCACGATGAAGTATATCAATGGCAAAAGTCGGTACTTTTGAATTTGAGATAGGAATTTTGGGGAGTTTAAAGGCTCTGCTAAATGAAGCCCAGGAGCACCCACTACCTGAGCGCTCTGTTGCTCGACACGCCACCAGGTCTGGCGCGGGCAGGAGGGAGGAACAAATCCCATTTCCAGCAACCTGATGCCACGAGGGCAGTGGGTGACAGGGACACCACGGAGCTTGTGGGGTCGTCGTCAGCACGAGGCAAAAGGAGTCACTACATGAAGGGGACGACGCGGAGGAGAGGCCGGGAAAGGGCAGGCAGCTCCAGGAAGCAGAACAGTTTTGTTCTGAATCTAAACCATTTTAGCATCCCGTCCTACCGAGAAAAAAACTTCACAGAGCATCAAAAAGCTTCAGAGATGGTTTATTATTTATTCATAAAACTTCAATAAACTGTGTCATTAAAGCACAGAGCATCTTCCCATTCAAAAAGCTCCCTCTCTGATTACCAACTATGTTCAAGAGCTCTATGAGCTCTTGGTGCCCCTGGCAAAAAGCCTCCAACCCCATCCGACCTTGCACTGTTTTTGCTACCATCACTTCAAACTGCCCAGGCCTTCTTTTACTCGGTCCTTTACATTTTTTCTCTCCCATCTTTCTGCTTTCTCCATGCAGACAGCACAGTCTCATTGTTTGAGCAGAAATGGTCACGTGCACCTTCCATTTTCATTCTGAAACTCCCTTCCTACTCACCCATCCTATCAGATCCAACACGACACTGTCCTAAGTGAATCAAAAGAAGATTCAAGACAAGCAGACCCATCACCTGCTCTTTTCTGGTAACCACGAGAAACTGCTGCCTGTTTTTTTAACTAGGCAGTATGAGAGTCATTTTCTCTTCTATATCCACCACAATCTCGTGGTAGGGCCAGGGAGCTGGGTGGGTGAGTGCTCTCGACTTGACCAAACTCTCCGGTCTTTGGGGTTGCCCATGGCTCTTCACACTGCTCTTCTTGATGTTCTTCTACCATTGCTACATCCACCCAAAACTGTTCCTGTTGGAAACTCAGCCAGGTTGGAACCACAGTCGCTACTGGCTTTAATGGAAAGTGAAAGCCAAGCTCTAGAATGGGGACATTCTCTACAAAACATTCACCTTCACATCAACTTTCCTACTGCCCCGTACTTTGAAGGTATGTGCTAAAACATGAAGCAGTTGCAAATTAGAAGAAAAAAGAGATGTGTATATTCATTATAATGTGGGATTTTATCCAGGCAGCACTAAAGCAAATCCTAAGTCATGTTTTATCCTGATCCTATTGCCTGCAGAATTACATCACAGTGTTACAGGGCACAGGCAAGAAACAGCACTATTAGGAGGCAGACACAAAAGGAAGGTTAAAACACGGACATGGAATAAAAGCTTAACTGCAGCCTCATTAGTACAATGCAATTAAATATTCCTACCACATTTTCAAAATAGGATTTCAAGCAAAAGACAAAACTTCCGCACTGATTATGAGCTTATGTAGCATTGCAAGAGTCAAAAAACTACTCTTTACCATGAGCAATTTTATAATAGGGTCCCATAAACCAAAACACAATCCATCTGTCCTTAATTAAGTAACGTACTCTATTATCTCTATGACCAATATATACGTCAAGCAGTTTAGCTACTTAAAACTGCTGTCACACAAAGTACCCTACGTGGGGGAGAAGGGGACCTTAACTTCCCCTCATTAACGAGACCTCAGAGAAACCTGAGCATTAGCAGGGATTAAGGCAGAGAGTTTGGGCTAGTTCTGGTGATCTTCATGGCTTACTCTACAACCTAGAAAAAGTCGTGTATTGTTCAGAGACACTAATCACCATTAGCACCTCTAATGCCCAAGTATTTTTAAGTATCATAAAACAGTATGAGTAAATTAAATGGCAACAACAACAAAGAAGAACACAACACGGTTTCCCACTGAACTGCTGATTATAAAAGATATTACATTTATTTCCAGGAGTAACGGAGATTACTTTCTAGTTGTTGAATTTGGTCATTATGCCAAACATTTTGCAACTTCAAATGCAGAGATTTCAGGCTGTTTGAAAGGTACTTTGTTTCTCCTTCCCACACATTTATAAAAGGTTAAATAAATGGTGCTGATATCAAGGCATATTAAAGCTGCAACACCGAAGCATTTATATTTGGCTGATTTTTTTTTCCTTGCAGTATTTTTAGTGATTTGATAACATGAAAGAAACAAGTTTGCTAAGGGTAGACAACCCACCAGGAGCAGTTAGGAAGATAGTACACCAACCTTATGGCCTATAAACTTTTCTTCAGGTTCCCCAAGCCTGTCTATCCATAAATCCCACCGAAGGGTTTACATGCCCTAAAGCTCCATTCTCCTCACCATTAATAAGTGAGCTGAGTAACGGCACACGTGGATCTTCCTCGACAGCCTCTGTCACTGCTATGGAGCAAAGAATTCTTTAAGTCACCTCCCTGATTTCCTTGGGATGGCTTTGGATAGAGCAGCCATCCTGAGGAAATGTCAAC